ACTCAGAACAACAATTTGTGGATCACACAAAGTGTCGTCACGTGGGGGGTCCGGACCCACAACACTCAGTGGCAGTGAGGGGCGTGCCGACCGTTTAATCCACTACGCCATACGTGCTGTCGAGTGATACTATTTAACCAACTGCGTCTCACATCACATCACATCAACAACCTTTAATAGTCCACTGCTGGACATAGGCCTCTCCTTAGAAAGGAGGTTTTAGCCTACTATACCACGCTGGCCAGACGGGTTGGTATAGGGTTTGTGTCAAGTTTTCCTTCTTTTTGCAGTGCTGGTGACCTGCGTTGTATTGCGCCCTTAGTCGGCTCTTACGACATCCACGGGACGAATTGAGGTAGTGACATTCCGTATTCTTAATCCTACACGGACATCCTACAATCCTACATTACTGCACGGACACTGCGTCTGTAAGAGGGTTATTTTGTTCGAGTGTCAGAATATTTATTGGAGAGCCTAAGGTGCTTTGGTTTCGGCTTAGGTGTCGTTATTTCAAATTAACTCAACTCAATTTCAAATTAATTTGGAACGAGAAATGTGAAAAAAAAACAAATCATTCTTCTCTAACGAGTAACAATTTGTTTAAAACAGTGTTACGCCATTCCGTTGTTTAAATTTTCTTCATTATATAGATATTTAAAGCGTTGTGTCTTCATATAAGTATTAGTATATCCGCTTAAAGGTTGTTCATATTTCGTCAATGTTTTCCTAACAGTCATAACAAATCATAAGCACCTATTCTAACTCATTAAAAATTGAAATCCACATTCAAAATCTTTAATTTATGAAATTCCTAACTAATAATTTGGTAATTTCGAATTTTTTTCAAATAGACTTAAAATTTAAAAATAGCTTTAAAGCCACGTAGAAAACAGGTTCCTTTGTCAATCAAATTAATAAAAAAAAAACATAAAATATGGCGGGGTAATACAATAGAGATACGAGCATAGAGTGAACAAGAGCCCAAATGCAATATAAGCAACGAGAGAGATGAATAATAGATAGTTCCTCTATCTCTTTCTAGCCTCTGAGGTTGGCTAGGGAAATATCTTATCTCCCGCATGTTCTACAACCAAAACCATGCCCACTTCACGATAGCCAGACAGAGACAGAGGGAACTATCGGGCACCCATATTGGACGTATTGGATTTTGCAACCTGTTGCCAAAAAATGGAGCGGTCATTTTACAAGTTAGGTGACTATTACTCTTAAATTATAAGAGATAACTTAGTCGTGACAGTTTTCGTTACATTTCCTTACATTCCTTATATATTGATTTTTTGAAGTGAAAACTTCTTTAGCGGCGCTGTACACTTTTTTTGTAATATGTAAAAAATGTTAAACTCGCGTCAGGACACGTGACCTGATCGAAAATTCGTAAGACGGATGGAGAGTAGACAGCCGGCGCGGCGTAGGAGAGGAAGTATCCCCCTCTCTTTCTACGCCGCGGCGAAAATGTATGCCTGGGCCTGCTGTTTCGTTTAGGCGGCGCAGGGCGCTTGCGCGAATGTTCGTTTTTCTGAGAGATGAACTTTTTAATGTAATATAAATTGTCATGTTTGTGTACGATAGCGCAATAAATAAATATTGTATTCTACCACATAAATGATAGTACTTTTATACTGATAATTAAAGCAATTCGTGCAAAATTATTCCCTAACCATTCCAAAATATCAAAAAATGCACAACGTTAATATTCAAGTTTTCACTTCTGCCGGCAATCTCGGAGTGCAACCCGTCGTTTTTTTCTGACACTGATCTGAAACAAAAAAACCGGTCAGGTACGAATCGAACTCGTGCGCCGAGGGTTCCGTACCTACCCAGATTTTAAGTAGTTTTTCGCGGAAATTTGTAAGTACCAAAATTTATCTTAATTTTCAACTTTTTTATTTTTTGGAATTATTCCTTTATTTGTGCTGTTTTAACTCCGGTATAAGACCAAGTGGTGTTTCATCTGTTTGCAAGATTTGAAACAAATTAAACAAGCATTACAAGTTTTAAAGAAGCAGTTTCTTTTTTTATCGTCGGAGTTATATTCTAATATTATCAATAATTAAATAAATTATGATTCAATTTTGACCTCTAGGCGACCAATGGCTTTTAACAGACTTTAAAAAAGAGTTGCACAATGCAAATTGATATATTTTTGTGTTTGTTGTGCGATATCCATATATTCGCCATTTGTGAACCGACTTCAATGGCTGATTCTTATTTTGAATTGAATTTGTTGTACTCAAAGTGAGCTCATTCGATTTGAAAAAAAAAAAATTGGTCGTTAAGGGAAACTTATTAAAGTTTTTTTTTTTTTTTGAATTATTAATTATTTAATGATTTTATTTGTGCAGAATATTGCAGTGTTTGTTTAGTGTATTGTCCGTGTGGTGACGGATTAAAAATACAGAGTGTCACCAACTCTATTCATCTCGTGGGTGTCGTAAGAGCCGACTAAGGCAGTAAACTACCAGAACAACAGCACTGCAAAGAGAAGGAGAACTTGACACTAACCCTATACCAACCCGTCTGGTCAACGTGGTACAGTAGACCAAAACCTCATTTCTAAGGAGAGGCCCATGTCCCGCTGTGCACTATTAAAGGCTGTTGATGATGATGATGAAATATAAATAACATTAACAAAATATTAACAATATTTTCGCTAAATGACGTTTGGTTTAAACGTTAAAAATTACTTCGTGAAACCGGAAAACCACATCAAGTTGTGATGATGCGTAGATGAATATATTATAGTGATGTAATATAAGTGAGCTGATACACTGTCCGGGGTAATATATTTTTAACCGACTTTAAAAAGAAGCCGGTTATTAATTCGGATGTTTCTTTTTTATGTATTTTCCGGCTTAACTCTGTCATTAAAGAGATCCGAGTTTTTCACCTTATCATTTTACAAAATGAACATTTTACTCGCGTCTTTTCGATATATTCTGACCCGTTAAACTTGCCATGGACTTCCAAAAATATTTCAAGAGAAAAATTAGTCAAATCGGTCCAACCATTCTCAGGTTTTATTAAGACTAACGAACAGCAATTCATTTTTAAATCTTTACTAATTTTATAAAGCTGAAGAGTTTGTTTGTTTGTTTGTTGGTTTGTTTGTTTGAACGCGCTAATATCAGGAACTACTGGTCCGATTTGAAAAATTCTTTAAGTGTTAGATAGCCCATTTATCGAGGAAGGCTATAGGCTATATATCATCACGCTAAGACCAATAGGAGCGGAGCACCAATGAAGATTGTTTCAAAAACGGAGAAAATTTATTACTATTGAGAGACGCAGACGAAGTTGCGCGGGTCAGCTAGTATAGAATAAAGACAGTGTAGTAGGGCAATCAAGCAGATGGGTCACTGCCGCTGCTCGTGGACACCTGCAACTAGTCAAGTGTTAAAAGCCCTGCCGCCCTTTGAGTCCTCCCCGCAGAAGCAAGGGGAAGGAGCGTATAACGTATAACCTCACTACTTCAATAAGAAGCAACGAACCGTGCTATAACTCCGGTACTCCATTTTTGACAAAACATGGCTCTCCCACGTACAATATAGATGTGGAATCGGAGGTAAAACGGAGATTCACAAATTGTTGTTCTGAGTCTTCTTTGTGTCCGTTTCATGTATCTTTGTAAAGTCCCCCGCGACACAGGATATATTCCTAGTGCGGGAGTTGTCTTTTTTTAAAACAAACAATAAAATATATAGATGTGTAATTCGAGGTACAGAATAAGTAAGCAATCGAGTATTCATTTACGTTTTCATCGCGTGAAAAAAATAGTAAATTAGAAATTATAGTTGAAAAAAGCCGACCAAATGCGTGTCGGTTTACGTGTAACGTAGTGTTCCGTAGTTTTTTATAGTCCATGTACACAACTGCACCTAAGTATTTTTTTTTAAATATTTTGTACGATATTTACCGAATATTGATAAATTGAGCGAGTATTAGGCTTAAACTAGTAAAGCTATTAATAGTTTTCCTTCTAAATTCGTTATATGCATGCATAACAATCATATTATTTTTAAAATCTGACAAAAACAGACTTGAAAAAAACATTTGACATTTAAAACGAGGTTTCTGTACCAATCATCGAGTACTTCCTTGAAAATAATTTATTAGCTGTTTAGAATAGAATAGAATAAACTTTATGGTACACCAGTTTGGTACATTATACATACAAAAGTACATCAAATTAATGACCATGTACAAATGGCGGTCTTATCGCTATAAAGGAATTTCTTAGAGGCAACCTTTGGATGGACAAATCATCTCTTAGATAGGTAGACGATTTAGTGTATTTTAAGTGTGTAGTTTGAACTAAAAATATCTTAATTTTCCTTTAAAAAAATAAAACTGTTTGAAATCTTCTTTTATGTAGACTCTAAAGTCATAGATCAACACACACAATAGCAACAATCTCTGTTTTGTCAAATAGTAAGCAAAATATAATATAATAAATATAAAAATAAAAATTTAATTTAATAAAAATTATACTTTAAAAAAATCTATGATATCATCAACAGCCTTTAAGTTTTGACCTACTATACCACGGTGGCCAGACGGTTTGGTATAGGGTTTGTGTCAAGTTTTCCTTCTCTCTACTGTGCTGTTGTCCTGCGTAGTTTGCTCCCTTAGTGGGCTCTCACGACACCCACGGGATGAATAGGGGTGGTCACCACACGGACTATCTATGATATGCCGTTTGAGTTGAGTTGAGTTTCCAAGGGATGTAAGATCTCTTTATTTCAAAAAAGACCCTAAAATGTGGCCAAGCCTGTGTTTTAAATAATTTTTGTATACTTACTTGGTAATTATTTGATAAAACAAGCAAACCTAGTATAATAATTAGGTTGCTTGATAATTAAAATAAGTCTGCAGTGTACACGACGCTTAACTTAATTTTTTTTTAAGCATTAGTCAGTGAACGCCCGGCCGGTTTAAGACCAGTCTGATTCAAACATCCAAGGATTATAAAAGTGTTTTAGCGTTGTATGTCGTGTTGCTCTTGAAATCTTCGATATTATTTATGTAAGTTAAAAAAAATTTTGATTATAAGGAAAATGATAAAATTTTGTATTACCTGTATATAAATAGAGAGAAAAAAAAAACAATTCTCTAAGCTTTTCTCATAAGTGTGTAGTGTTCTCTGTTTTTTTGCGTTTAGTAGCTTTGACGAGTTTTATTAATGAAAAATAATAGTTTTAAAACAAGCTTTTCTAAGCCATGGTGAACTTTATAACAACTCTGTCGTAATGATATACATACATAATTATACTTATATACGTACATAAAAAAATGTGTGTGTGTACAATTCACACACGGCAGAAGTTAAACTCCTGTTTTTTTTTTTATTATTCTTTCTTTATTTTCTTTATCTCAGAAAAACCATATAAATTTTTGCCCAGCCAGGAAATGGAAACCACTAAGGCAGCGTTTTTCAAATCCCACGCTAACGAAGTCGCGGGTACCACCTAGTATTAAATAAAAAGATAAAAATACTCACACTGTCAAAATATTATATTAAAAATAATGTGTAATGTATTCTATCTCATTCTCTCGCCGACTTAATCCTATACATTTATGTGCATGTTTCTTTATCGTGACGCATTTTCGTTTCATCGAGTTTCACATCACAACAATTCTATCCAAAGTTTTTGTGTTTGTATTATTGACCGTTAAATATTAGTTACTCTCTGCTGGAAATAGGAAGTAATAATAATAATAATTACTAAACCAGCTTTTGCCCGTGACTTCGTCCACGCGCTGGTCGAAATCAGTCATTGTAAAGGATACAATGAATCAATATTATAGATATATTATCCATACAAACTTGGAACCTTTTAGTTTTAGTAGTTTTGAATAATTTATAACGTTTTTCATTCCTTTTAATAAAGAGTATTTACTGTGAGTTTGAAGTATCAAAAATAACGAAGTTTCATATAAATTTCCCACCCCCATTTTGCCCTTTTATGGGGTGTATTTTTAAAAATCCTTTCTTAATGCATACCTATGTCATCTAAGAAAAATTTGTACGTAATGTGATGCTTCTGGACCTTGCGGTACCAGCTGTACGTTGATCGATCAGTCACTGTAACAGTCTGAGAGTTTCTTCTTTTATAGACTACTAGCTGAGACCCGCGGTGTTACCCGCGTTTGTTGTTATAACCGCGGGCAACGCGGCGGGGCGAAGCTAGTCTAAAAAAAGTAGCCTACGTGTCATCAGCTATCTGCCAGTGAGAGTCCCGTCGAAATCGGTGCAGCCGTTCCAGAGATTACCCGGAACAAACAGACGACAGACAGACAGACAGACAAAAATTGAAAAAATGATATTTTGGCATAAGTACCGTGTAAACATACATATGCATTTAGTAAAAAGCGGTTATTTTAATATTACAAACAGACACTCCAATTTTATTTATTTGTATAGATACATATCTCACACTCACAACGTCTGATCCCAAACTAGGCAGAGCCTGTACTATGATAACCAGACTGCTGATAAACATACTTATATATTTCTAAATACATACATATTACAGATAAATTACACCCAGACACGGAATAAAAAATTATCGAGCTCATCATACAATTATTTGTCTTGGTTAGGAGTCGAACCCGCGACCTCCGTTTAGCAGTCAAGCTCACTAACCACTAGAACAATAGAATCTGGCTATGAATATTAAATCACATCAATAGCCTTTAATAGTAGTCCACTGCTGGCTATATGCCTCTCTTTACAAAGGACTTTTTACTATACCACGCTGGTTGGAATATTAAATAATTAACTTAAAAAAAGTATGTCCGACTTCTTTGCGCCAAATCGTGATCAATTGTATTAAACTAGATTCTTCATTACTTAATTTACTAATCTTGGGGGTGGTACTTCTCTTCAAATTTGAATTATACAAAAAACTAATTTTCTAAATCGCTACATAAATGACAACGTTTTGAGGTAACAAACATAAAAAAAATGAAGCGATTTGACAGCCACTATATTTTTTTAAGACGTTTAAAATGCATTATTATATTGGATGTAAATAAAACACGTAAATAAATATCCTTGTGGTGACGGATCAAGAATAAACTAAGCAAGGAATACTACGTAATACTACGCAGGGCAACAACACTGCAAAGGGATAAAAAACTTGAAACATACCCTATCATACATAAACCATCTTTCAGATTGGTATAGTAGACCAAAACCTCCTTTCTAGAGTGAGGTCTATGGCGGTGTACTACTAAAGGCTGCTGATAAAACACATAAAATTTTAACTCCGGTATAAGACCAAGTGGTGTTTGCAAGATTTGAAACAAATTAAACAAGCATTACAAGTTTTAAAGAAGCAGTTTCTTTTTTTATCGTCTGAGTTATATTCTAATATTATCAATAATTAAATAAATTATGATTCAATTTTGACCTCTAGGCGACCACTAGCTTTTAACAGACTTTAAAAAAAGAGTTGCACAATGCAAATTGATATTTTTTTGTGTTTGTTGTGCGATATATATATTCGCCATTTGTGAACCGACTGCAATGGCTAATTCTTATTTTAAATTGAATTGAAATTATATTGAATTGAGCCGACTAAGGGAGCAAACTACCAGACACAAAGCAAAGAGCAGAGAGAAGAAAAACTTGACACAAACCCTATAACAACCCGTCTGGCCAACGTGGTACAGCAGACCAAAACCTCCTTTTTAAGGAGAGGCCTATGTCAAGCAATTGACTGTTAAAGGCTGTTTATGTGATAGTTGAATTGTTAATTGTACTTTTAAATCGGATCGTTCACTTCTTGATACAAACCTTAAGTATTGTATCATGTGTATGTAAACTTAGTGTCGATATAAATAAACCAGTATTTGTTTGAAAAGAGTGTAAAGACTTTTAGCCTTATAAAACACTAGCTTTTGCTTGCGGCTCCTCCCAGATATATTTTGGTTATCGTGGTAAAAAGTAGGCTATGTCTTTCCTCAACAATCAAAGTATCCCCATATCAAATTTAATCTAAATCGGTTCAGCGGTTATTGATTCCCCATACAAACTTCCACCCCCTTAAAGGATGATTTCTGGTTTAATAACTACTCTATGTCCTTTCCCGGGACTCGGACTATCTCGTTCATGGGCGGCGATGGTCACTTTCCATCAGGTGACCCTTCTGCTCGTCTACCCCTTCGTGCGTAAAAAAAAAAACCATTATTACCGACATTTTCTATGGTATAATGGTCATTTGATGGCAATTAACTGTCACCGCAAATGAATCCTTGCAAATCAAGGGTCATACGTGCGCTACCGCCTTATAAGTCTCCCCCAGAATCAGGGGGGAGAAAGGGTTTGGGCTCCTTTAACCTTACTCGAAAACAAACGAAGGAATTGTTTAGCACCGGTTAATTTTGTTATTATTTTACCTAGAAAACACCCAAACTCCGAAACAAATATTTTTGCATATCATACAAACATTTGGTCGGACCCTAGAATCGAACTCGCGACCTCAGCACAGCAGTTTGATTTTTATTGACATTTAATAACACAAGTCTAGAGATATTTTAATGTGTATTTCTATTTTTATACTAGCAAAGCTGGTTTTGTCAAGTAAATTCTATAAATTCCAGTGAATATAACTAACTTATAATAAGTATGTGTGGATATTTGACGGGCCTGTTGGTCTAGTGGTTAGTGACCCTGACTGCTAAACCGGAGGTCGTGGGTTCGATTCCCACCCAGGACAAATATTGTGTGATGAGCACGGTCACTTGTTCTGTGTCTGGGTGTAATTTATCTATAATATGTATGTATTTAAAAATATATATGTTTATCAGCAGTCTGGTTACTATAGTACAGGATCTGCCTAGTTTGGGATCAGACGGCCGTGTGTGAGATGTATGAGGTATATGTATATATATAGGGTCTATGAATGAAAGAGAAATGGAGCGCTGAGGCTGATGATGATGGCTAATAAAAATAATAAAACCATTCATTTTCTTAATTCAATGTACTTTATTAACTTAACTGACATATTTTACATTTTACAATAAAGAAAAAAAACAATCTAGGGTGACCTACCCTTACCGCCTAGGGGTATAAAAAATAGCTTACGACCTTCCAAATTTACGCAAGAAATCCATTAAAATCGGTCAAGCCGTTTCGGAGGAGTGCGATAACAAACACTTTATATATTTGTATTAGGAAGTTGAACAGTTTGTTTGTGTTGTTACAAGGGGAACTTATACGTTGTAGCACATTTTTTTAATTTACGATATGTACACCATATTTTAAAACATGTTTTTTTAATGTTTCAAAATGTATATATTTTTTTAATGTCTTGCCAGCGGCTCCGCCCGCGTATACGAGTATGTCTATTTTTTCTATAGCTTTGGCTGTTTCTCCCCTCAGAAAAACCCTTTAAAATTTTTTCCGGTACGGGAATCGAACCCGAGGCCTCATGGACTGCAGTGACAGTACTACATAATTTATTTTTCATGAATTCTGCAAATTGAACAAACATTTTCAATTTAAATTTAGTACAACGCATTTTCCTTATAATAAACACGAATTGTTTTTGGGTGGTGTTTTAAAATTCATAAATAAATAACAGTAATAGACTTAACAAATAACTGGTTTCGTTTCACTTCGACATTTTCTCATTGGCCACACTTCGCCAATTTTATATTATTTCTAAAACCTGTCTGCACTGTGTGAACATAAATATTATACCTTTGCATTTTTATAAATCTTCTACATATACCTTACCCCATCATTAACATCAATCATCAACAGCCTTTAATAGTCCACTGCTGGACATAGGACTCTTTTCAGAAAGGAGTTTTTGGCTTACTATACCACGCTGGCCAGACGGGTTGGTATATGGTTGGTTTTAAGTTTTCCTTCTCTTTGCAGTGATGTTGTGATAGTGTGGTGATGAATTAAGAATACGGAATGTCACCACCTCTATTCATCCCGTGGACTAAGGGACTAAACTACAAGACATCAGCACTGCAAAGAGAAGGAAAACTTGAAACAAACCCTATATCAACCCGTCTGACCAGCGTGGTAGGCCAAAGCGTCCTTTCTAAGGAGAGGCCTATGTCCAACAGTGGACTATTATAGGCTGTTGATAGTTTTGCTCTCTTAGTTGGCTCTTACGACGCCCACAGGATGAATAGGGGTGGTGACACTCTGTATTCTTAATCTGTCATCACAGGCACTAGGTACCCCCTTTTAAATAAATATGACACACAAAGGCATATCATGTCTGAAATACTTAATGTTTATATGTAACAGAAGTGCTATAAAGTTATATATTATATAAAAACGGCTTCAATAAATGTATATGCTGTATATTTTGTACATCGTACAGAAATCTATATAATGAAAGCTCAAGTTATATTGGTCAAGGAATGAGAACTTGACATTGAAAACGGTCGAAATTGAACCGCTATGCAACTCCTAGTGAAAAATTTCTCTCCAGTGTGTGTTCTTAGATCAAAACGAGCGCAATTAAAAATTGAGACAAAGAGAAAGTAACTTTAGAAAAAAACCGGACAAGTGTTAGTCGGACTCACCCACCGAGGGTTCCGTACACATTTGTAGGTACATATTATAAAGAGTTCAGGAATGGCATCTCGCAGTTTCAGTTTTCAAAATCTATAATTACTTATATTCTTGAGTTTTATAAGAGAAATTGTAGCGATTCGATTACGTACTTTAAATAATGACTATATTTTGTATGATTTATTTACAAATATATAGTTTTCAGACTTTTCCCTGTACTTGTAGTATAAGACGATGTTACTTGCCAAATTTCTAGTTCTAGGTCAACGGAAAGTACCCTATAAATTTTGATTGGCTTGAGTATCCAATATGCCTATGAGGCATAGACGGCCTTATCTTTTTTTTACGTTAACTTAGGAGTTTGATTATTTTAATGGGCCATGGACCTGAGTATCTGGTTTTAATTTCAATTCGGTACCTCCAAGCGTTCCCAAAATAAAGGGTCTTGACAGACAGATAGACGAACGAACGGACAACAAACTGATCCTATAAGGGTGCCGTTTTTTCCTTTTGAGGTACGGAACCCTGAAAACAAGAAATCTTAAGAAATTAAATGGCGTTTCTATATTATTTAAAAGAAATATTAAAGTTAGGGGATTTCCTATGCTTGATGAATGATGACAAATCTGTGTATTAATATCATACTTTGCATATTTGTTTTACATGAAGGTCAAAAGGACTCTGAATGAATACATTTCATATTTTTACCCGCCTTGTATGTTTGTTTGTAAATTTCTTTTTACTTTGTATCTTCCAAATGACTGGATAGATTTCGACAGTTAAGGTATTGTTTTATCCTAGATTTAGACTAGAAGGTGTCTATTGCTATTTTAATGTGACCCGTTATATTGAGAGTCGTTACTTATTTTGTCTTTTTCAAATTTGATTTGTAATTATTGTTTTAAAAAGCCTTATTAGTGCCTTACTTTTAAATTGTCCTTTAGCAGTCTTGTTTTTACTCGAGGGTTATGTTATAATCGAGCAATTCTTGTAGATATGTATTTTATTTATTTATTAAAGACTTCCTGCAAACATATTGCATAAGACTTAATGCCACAAGCATTTTCTTCCAGTCAAATTTTTGGGTGTTGCAAAGCTGTGTGTGGCAGGTGTATATTAGGGGCAGGTAAGGATGACACTGAATTAAAGAATATTAAAAAAAGAGAAAAAAATCGTACAGATATATAGGTACTAGGTATATATACATATAAATATTAAAATATATATAATACATATATAATATTAAATGTATATATATATATATATATATATATATATATATATATATATAATCTGAATCTCCGAAACGGCTCCAACGATTTTCAAGAAATTTATTATGCAGGGGGCTTCGGAGGCGATTAATCGGTCTACATAGGTTTCATTTATAGAAAATTGACCAAAAAAAAAAAATACGGAGCAAAGCTCTTTCATCCCGTTACTTTCTTTAATCGGAGCAATTTTTTTTGGGTTTATGAAGCTTACAAAAACCAACCTAACATCTTTATAGATACACTAGCGGACCCGACAGACGTTGTCCTGTCAAATTTGACACTGTGATGGTAGCGCCGTCTGTCTGATCCAATGTAAAACATTCCAAAATCAACAACTACTAATAAATTAAAAATTAATTAAAAAAACATTGTCCAGCGGACAAAATTGTGAATCTAAACCATTCCCAGATCCCCTTGAACACACACAAAAAATTTCATCAAAATCGGTCCAGTCGTTTGAGAGAAGTTCAGTGACATACACACTCACAGAAGAATTATATATATAAAGATAGATTTATAAGTCCTTTATGATTGTTATCTTTTTGTAAATTACGATTTAAATCAATACAGAAACAATCAGTAGTGTTTATCTTTAAATTCACATGTAAACTAACCTTTTTAGGGTTCCGTACCTCAAAAGGTAAAAAGGAACCCTTATAAGATCACTTTCTTGTCCGTCTGTCCGTGTGTCACCACCGATTTTCTCAGAAACGGATAGACCTAGCGAGTTGAAATTTATACCAGATACTGAGGTCTATTGTCCCTATTAGGTGTATTTTGGTTAAAAGCAAGGTCATATAGCACAAGAAAAGAGAAAATTCTGAAAAATAAAAAGTTGAAAATTAAAGTAAATTTTGGTACTTACAAGTTTTCGCGAAAATCGAAAGTTGCCCATATCTTTTTATCGTGCTGACTCAGGACCTTGATTTTTATAGACAATTCTAGGTCACCCGGAAGTACCCTATAGGTTTTAGGTCGAAAACCTATATGGTAGTGCCCGTTGACCTGGAATCGCGAAATTTGGCAAAAAGAAACGTCTTAAAGCACAAATAAAGGAATAATTCCAAAAAATAAAAAAAGTTGACAATTAAGATAAATTTTGGTACTTACAAACTTTCGTGAAAATCTACGTAAAATCTGGGTAGGTACGGAACCCTCGGCGCACGAGTTCGACTCGTACCTGACCGATTTGTTTTTTAGTAAGTACTAACTTATGTAAGTATATTTTCCTTTGCAGGTAGCTATTCGAATGATCACAAGAGTTGATTTTAGAAAAATAAACATGTTTTTATTGTTATGTTTCCTCTTCGTGACGGTTGCTGGTCAGAGAGGTGAGTTTAATTTTTTTATTTATATGTTATATATCCCTATTTTTTTTACGTATGGAAAATCCCTTCTGCCGTCATCCCACCAAGCTTTGCAGGGAGGCGGTGTGTGAGAATCAAACCGACTAAAACCACAAGGTGTGCCATACTGTGCTGTGTTTTTATTTAATGGTGTAAGTCAAATATAGCTCACTTAGGAGCCATAATATTTTGTGGCCGTGATGCTTCCCTGTTTAAAAAGACGTTTGCTTATTTTTACTTCTTTTTGTCTCCCGCTTTGCTAAGGAGGGAAGTGGATTTATTTTATCTCCAACTCCTCCAAGACAGTTTAATTTTTCCTGTGCCTTCCCGAGTGTCATAACTCGGTGTGTTCGTGGGTCACTGCTGTTGATCCTGGTGTACAGGAGGTACAGTGGTGGGCGTGTGGGAGGGGTTAGTCCCGTTAATGGTGTGGCAAATGAGCAGACGGACTACCGCCGCCAATGGACTCAACTCAAGAGTGACTAATATGTTGTCGGTCTTTGACTGCACGGATGGCGTAGTGGTTTAAGAGGGTTGTGGGTTCGATTCCCACATGGAACGACAATTTGTGTGATCCAAAAATTGTTGTTCTGAGTCTGGGTGTTCTTTGTATCCGGTCGAAGCTCGAGCCTGGCCATTGCCCTCCCATGGTCTCTAACCGATTAGCTTTTGTTTTTGAATGACAGTTACTGTTGCACAGTATTGTCTTTAATTTTATTTATATTTGCAGTGGGGGATGAATGTATCCACCCCTACGCCAACACATTGGGAAGGTGTACCCCTGTGGCGCAGTGTGAAACAGCCAGGACCGACTATCAGTAAATATATTTTTTGTAACTTTTAAATTTAAAAGAAATAATATTACCAGTTTTTAAGAAAATCTCGCACGCGGAGGTATAACATAAAATATAATATATAAATAAAAACTTTATTCTGTAAAAGACAATAGAGCATATAACTTATGTTGAAAGAAAAAAAAAAACATTTTATATGACTATATTTTATATGACCCGTCTACTCGTTTGCCCCCTGCAAACGAGTAGACGGGTCACCTGATGGTAAGCAACTACCGCTCTCACAATGTCGTCTGACGATCGAGCAGGTGGTCTGCCAGGTGAATTCGGTAACTGCTTTAGTCCATCGGCCGTCATCCCGTCTGGCCAAATGTCCCGCCCATCTCCACTAAAGCCTCGCTATCTGTACAGAACTCAATGGAATGACATAGAAGCTAATATAATAATAAATAGCAAGAAAAGGCAATGTATTGTTGTAGATTAAAATAGGCAACCATTGTTAAACAAAATAGGTTACTAGGTAAAATAATTCCCATGTTCGACCCTAGATGGCGTTAGTGTCGAATTGAATCGCGTTATCGTTTGTCTACAACCATTGTATTTAAGCATACACAATACGTTTAATAAATATCTTGCTCTGAGGTACTGAAGTTTGGTTTTAACGGGTATCACTGGAATCTAGGCACTTTGTAACGATATTGTACACTATCCGTATACCCACATCCTCAACTTTGGTGCGGCGTCCTTATACTAAAAGTGGTTTTAACTTTCAGGTTAAGCGGCATAAGGACTACATACTGTTCGTACAGTGCTTTCGGTAACTCCTTAGTGTGCTGCAGAGACGGAACTACTATCTTACAAGAGCCTACTCCAATTCGCAATGAGTAAGACCTACATCTATGCATACATACACAGGCGTGAGCCACAAGACCAACTAGACTAACAATGGCAGACAAATATTTGACATAAGTCAATTAAAACGTGAACTAAAATCGTTTCCGATTAAAAAACCGGTCAGGTACGAGTCGAATAGGGACCATAGACCTCAGTATCTATACTCTATACAAATAAATAAAATTGGAGTGTCTGTTTGTAATATTAAAATAACCGCTTGTTACTAAATGCATATGTATGTTTACACGGTACATATGCCAAAATAACATTTTTTCAATTTTTGTCTGTCTGTCTGTTTGTTCCGGGTAATCTCTGGAACGGCTGGACCGATTTCGACGGGACTTTCACTGGCAGATAGCTGATGACATAAGGAGTAACTTACGCTTTTTTTAGACTAGCTTCGCCCCGCGGCGTTGCCCGCGTTTATAACAACAAACGCGGGTAACACCGCGGGTCTCAGCTAGTCTGGTATAAATTTCAACTTGCTAGGTCTACCCGATCCTGAGAAAATCTGTGGTGACACACGGACAGACGGACGGACGGACAAAAAAGTGATCTTATAAGGGTTCCTTTCTTACCTTTTGAGGTACGGAACCCTAAAAAACGTACTATAAGATAAATAAGTTCCTAGACATTTTTTAATAACATTGACAATTGTTTATTCATTCACTGTAAGTAGTATTTGTTACTGATTCACTGAAAACCAGTATTGTTGATTTGACAAACTTTAAAAATTCTGCGACTTTGCACAAGTACTAAGTACCTGGATGACCAAGCTTTGCTCAGTATTTTTTTTAAGTAAATTAAAAAAAAATGAAACCTAGCTAGATAATCATGAAAATCGTTGGAGCCGTTTCCGAGATTGAGATACATGTACAACAAGAATTGCTTGTTTAAAGGTATTACATAGATTAATTTGTATGAAATATTTGCACACCTATGGTAGTACGCAGAGGCCAAATTTCGTTTTTAAGATCTTTGTATAACCTGCATTCCGCAAATAAACAATTTGATTTGATAAGTATGGATATGTACTATATTATATCGGAAATGACCCTATCCAATGATTGCCTATAAGAATTTTCTTTTTAGCCATAAGGGCGCCATACGTATGTCTTCATCTTCACACACATTGCTAAAAAGTGAAAGGTCGCACGATAGGTTGAGCACAAATAACGTAACGAGGTTATTCGATCACTAAATTTTACTCTTCATATTTGTTTCATAACGCCTTATATGAAAATTGTTTCTTATGGAGTGAACTTCAAAAAAGTTTTTTCTATTCTGTTCCTTGTGTTACAGAAACCGTCCTGTTTGGGGCAGTAGCAATGGCCAACAAAGGAAGAGAGTGAGTGAAAGAAGTAAGTACAATAGAGGCTTTGTACCAAACGTCAAAATTACAAATTCTTTAACTTTTTGCATGAAATACTAAGGTGTGACGTCATACCTTGGTATTGTTAAATCATCTAGGTATTTTAATGTTTATTTAAAGTCATTTAAAAATAAAGACATATACATGGCAATTTAGACTGCACTTTAAGATGTTACTTTTTGTGATTCAGGTGTAATAATTCATTTTAAACAGAAAAAGACCCTATTTCTAATTTCGTGTTTCTAACTTCGATAATGATGAACTTCCATACAACCGTTCATCTCTTATTTTACCCCTTAAGGGAGAAATGTCCAAAAATCCTTTCTTAACATAAAAAGCATTTGCACTATTGAATTCAACTCGGTGTAAATACTAGGCGTTTAGAAATAAAACGACTGTATTGTGATCTAGATTGTCCTGCTGGTCGATTTTATTAAAAACCATTTGGGTTAATGTGGTGCACTCGGTAACACAACAAAACCGCGTGTTAACCTAATGGTACAACGACTTCTATCGGGGTTCACCTCAAACATTTTATTTTTAGTTAAACCTGGTAAAGTGGAACCTTTTTGAACCTGGTTAAATGAGATTTGAATTCTAAGACTTTTTCGATGTTTACCTCTATAATAGAGACTCTGTAGCTCAATTACCTGTATAAGTGAGACAAATTAATCAGGTTTTAACACGTTTTTACATGTTTGTTTACATACATTTCGCGTCGTCTTTCGCTCATGCTTTGTTTGTCAGTACTATCTCAGGTTTTGACCTAGGAGAATAACATGGAATGGAATAACGGCACATTTCGGCCTCTGTAAGCGGGGGCCTCTGTAAATGAGACAATTATAATTTTAAACCTGCTTAATTGGAAAACTGGATTATTGGAAACCCTCAATAATTAACCAGGTTTCACTGTATTACTCGTAGTATACAATGTTATTATACTTAACACCGGGCAAGTGCAACCACATTTTTTATGTATAGAATAGTAACACAATTCACAGTTCAAGTGATTTGGACACACTGAAGGACCAGAAATAAAAAATTAAGCACTTCAAATTGTGAACTTCTTCTAGAATGCGAGGAGTATAGCCGCGGCGTGGTCCTGAAGGTTGAATACATGGCTCTCATCCCAGATGCTGAGGCTTTGTCAGTATCAGCAGCCAAGTGCGATTACAATACGATTGAGCTGATCATTGGCGGGGAGAATGCTGAGCCTGGGGAGTTCCCACACATGGTAAGACCGCCCAGTCTTTTACAGGCCAAGTAATTATACACGAGGTTTTACATTTTTCTTTTCTTGACTACGTAAAAAAATTAAAAAGTAAACTGATTAAAGTTCACATTAAAAATAAGAGCAAATTGTTTAGAAATGTGCACACACACTAGAAAAATCATAAAACATCTATCATATAAACATCTTTACAGCCTATTCAATGTTTATTCGTCACACAAATCTGTATGTCAGTATACATAACTTATAAAGTTTTACCTTGCTATAAAATTCCATGTTCAATTCTGTAGCCAAACGCTAGCGCAATTTAGAAAAGTAATACAACGCCATCTATTCGACACCAAGTTCAACTTATGATCTAATTTGGGATTATATCTTTCAGGCTGCCATAGGATGGGTGGGCTTCAACGATGAGTATCTATTCTCTTGTGGGGGGAGCCTCATCAGCCACAAGTTTGTCCTGACCGCGGGCCATTGCATCCGTAACAAAAACGCCAAGAATGAAATACCTGTTATAGTCAGGCTTGGAGACCAGAACATAGACAACAGCGTCAATGATGGAGCTAATCCTGTGGATGTGAGTATGGCCGAAATCACTAAAGACAAGTACCTGTCTTGTAGGAGGTAAGACAAACTTGTCAACGATAGCTATCGAGTAATAATAATAAAAATTTATTTTCAGAATTTCTTTTCCATATTTTGTTAGTAATAATTTGCTTACGTACTAATGTTAGTATAACTTATATTTATTTTAATGAAAACAAAAACAATTCATATTACGGGATGTAGCCGCATCCATCGGCGCATCATCGGCGTCTCCCACCGATCTGTGAACACCCTTAGGATGGTGTTGGTACTGCCCCGAAGACGCGTCATCAGTGAGGCGCACCTTTTTCTAATTATGGCTGCAAAGCCGTCAACTTGCGCCTCAATGTCAATATGATTGTAATGAGTGCTTACGAGTGTTGACGGATTTGTACTTCTTGCGCGACCCTACGCGATTATTAGGACAACGACCCCACGGTGGTGGGTGGTCCAGAAAGTATACTAGTAACTAAATTTTTAACAGAACTTTAAAGAACTTTGTTATAATGAAAATTCAGTTCCTTTTTACTCTCGATCTCACAAATGTCATAACAGGTATTCTCGTAGCAAAGTAGTAAAGTGTCACTAAGATTAGCAGAATAGCGATTCAACTTTCGATCACAACACAATATAATCACGTTGCAGTCAACATTGGATGTTTAATACTTTATTACGAGAATACATTTTATGACTTGAGATCGAAAGTAGATCGGAACTGAATTTTAAACTAATTTTTATTACGAGAATTGACCTTCTGACGCTAGTAGCACGACGCTTTTGGTAGAACAAAGCTCGTAGCCACCTGTCAACGATTTTGACGTGACAACGTCTTATAATTCGATGGAGCCGGCTGCACGCACGAAAAAACATGACTCATGCGGCGTTACCTCGCTCTGAGGCGTTCCATTTAAGGCTTGAAGTGCAAGCGAGAGCGCGGAACGAGCGACAAAGAGGCACAATCAGCCTTCGGCAGCGTTTGACATCTGTCTCTCTCCTACTTGAGTGAGCGATGCGTCCGCGTGGACAGCTGCTACTTGTATACAATAATACATTTTTGAAAAATGCAACCATTCCATCAGTATTTTCTTATGACGTTGTCACGTTCAAATATCGTCAGTAAACCGACTTTACAGACAACCGATTTTTTTTTTATTAAAGGCTTACTAGCAACCGAAATTACTAGTATTTCCTTCAACCCCTCCAGCTAAGCTAAATTGCTCGTGTTAGAAGTGGGTTCACGTCGGTAGTCGGTCAGGTTTCGAACCGTCGACCTCTTGATTGCAAGCCTTAACCACTAGGCTACCGCTTTCCTTAAATTAAATACTAGCTGACATGACGCTTCGTATGCGTCTCCCAAAAGATTATTTTTCCCGTTTCTGCAAAATGAAATCATGAATGCTCGACTGATGTGCCGTAAAATAATTTTTCAATTCGAACCAGTAGTTTCTGAGATTAGAGCGTTCAACCAAGCCAACTCTCCTGCTTTATAATATTATTATATGTAAATTGAAAAATACATGTTAAAGAAGTATTAAACATGTTCAGGTGCCAATCCGCAACATCCACACGAACCCCAACTACAAGCCCCCAGTGAAGTACAACGACATAGCTCTCCTTGAGCTGGCCAGCGACGTCACATTCAGTTCCACCATCCGAGCAGCTTGCCTCTGGACTAAGCCGAACTTCCCAGGGTACGATAAAGTTGTTGCTACCGGTTGGGGAGTTACTGATGCTAGTAAGTTCAAAAACCATTAAAATTATGAAGTTTTAGCAAAACCTATACCACCTCCTTTCTAAGTAGAGGCCTATTAAAGGCTGTTGATGATGATGATGATGATATTTTTGGCAGTGGGAGAGTCAATCATGCCATGAAATTATATCATGGCCTAACACAAAACCGGTGTTAAGTAATTCTTTTGTGGCTGTTTGACGAGTGAGTAAAATAACCGGTTTTGTACATGTCATTAATTTATGTAATGAATTGTCGACGGCGGTATAATTTTTTTTTCTTAAAAAAGACCTCCCAAATATATCCTGTGTGTGTGGACACAAAGAACACCCAGACTCAGAACAACAATTTGTGGATCACACAAAGTGTCGTCCCATGTGGAGATCGGACCCACAACACTCAGCGTAGTAGTAAGCGGGGTGGCGACCGCTTAAACCACTACGTCATCCGTGTATTACATTAGTTTCGTACAGACTATTGTATATCCTACAACTCCCACTTGCCCAGGCTGGCAATGCATTTGCGACTTTTGAATTTGTTCAGGTTTTAATTGACGGCGGTAGTCACTTGCCACCGTCGTTTTATTTATTCATGTACTTGGTAACCCGTGAGATTTACACTTTAAGAGTCAAGTCCAGAAAGTAGTCTATTCTATGAGAATGAGAAAACATTTGATGACACAGGTTATCAGTTTCTGTGATTGAATGACAGATGGCGCCACTAGTCTTTAATGTTTTGATATGCAATCAATAGACCTGGGCCTCAATTCTGCTATTTTATGTTCACGCCAAGCCACCGTCATACGACTGACACGCTATTGAGATGCCATCGAGTGGCCATTGGCATCGGTATAAATATTGGTAGTTGAAAATGTGTATATTACGTTTTTTGAGGAAATGATTTATTTATTTTTATTATAGTAAATATTAAAATAAATAAGTAAATTAAAATAAATTTTTAAAAACGTAAAATTATAAAAAAAAGAAAAAAAAATATTAAAATAAATAAATCATTTCCTAATAATTAGAAAATATATTATCTACGTTTTTTGAGGAAATGATTTATTTATTTTTATTATAATAAATTATTAAAATAAAAAGAACAAAAATAAAAAGATTAATAAAATAAATCAATCATTTCCTTATAATTTGAAAATAAATTACGTTTTTTGAGTTTTTTTTTTTATTTTAATATATTTTATAATTTTTATATTTTATTTTTTTAAATTTATTATAATAAAAATAAATAAATCATTTCCTCAAAAAAAGTAATATATTTTCAAATTATAAGGAAACGATTTATTCATTTTAATATTTTTTTTAATTTTATTTTTTAATTTTTTATATTTTTTTTCTTTAATTTTTTTTTAATAATTAATTTTAATTTATTTATTTCTTTTAATATTTTTTTTATAATAAAAATAAATAAATCATTTCCTCAATAAACGTAATATATTTTCAACTACCGATATTTATACCGATGCCAATGGCCACTCGATGGCATCTCAATAGCGTGTCAGTGGTATGACAGTGGCTTGGCGTAAACATAAAATAGCAGAATTGAGGCCCAGGAGTATTTATAGAAATAGTTTAACCCCCATGTTCCAGATGGACGAGAACCTTCGAAAGAGTTGAAGAAAGTCGCTCTTAATCTATTTGAGAATAGTCACTGTGATTCCTTGTTGGACTGGCTCAAGAACAGAAATTGGGATGGGTTCCGGAGTTCCCAAATGTGTGCTGGAGAACTGAGGGGTGGGAAGGACACTTGTCAGGTGAGATACGATATTCTTTACTTACGAAACATGTTTATATTTTTTTACCCACTTCAAGAAAGGAGGTAGAAAAATAAGCAGTAAACAGTTGTTGTGTAAATAAAAAAATAAGTTAAAATTGATTCAAAGTGTACAATAGTAACATAATAGTTTTAATAACACGTAAGCACATTTATGTGAACCAGACGTCACTAACTAGTGGACATACTGACAGCTGTCAATGTCAAAATTACATTAACTACATTTTTGCTAATACTCTATGGTTGAGTAACTTTGAATCGGTTTTTGACGTCAACAAATGCAGTAAGTGTTAGCAGAAAATTTGAAAAGTGTGTTTTTAGCCCTTTTCGAGTAATGTGCATACAAACGAACATTAGTTTTATTTATATTAATAGATAATATATTTAAATATTTGACTAATTGAGGTTAATTGACTGCACGTATGGCGAAATGAAATATTATTTCCTCTCTCCCAAACAAACTGTGCTGCGCCCGTCAGGGTCCATAATTGTTACTATATTTAAATTGATATCACCTATGTATTTACATTGTGGAAGCAATAAAGTATTGAGTATTGAGTATTGAGTAATGGTTTAAGCGGTCACACCTTACCGTAGCGTCGCACCGCTTCCTATGCGCTGAGTGTCGTGGGTTTGATTCCCACATGGGACAATACTTTGTGTGATCCACAAATTGTTGTTCTGAGTCTAGGTGCTCTTTGTGTCCGTTTTATGAATGTTTGTAAAGTCCCTCACGACACAGGTTATATACCTACCTAATACGTGAGTTGCGTGTGTAAAAAACTGTAAAAATCAAAAGGAAAAAAGTGACACTAAAACCACAGGTCGAGAACTAGAATATTTAAATTATAATCACATCAATAGCTTTTATAGCCCACTGCTGGACATAGGCCTCTTCTTAGAAAGGAGGTATTTAAATTATATCCGTATGTATTTCTAGGGTGACTCCGGCTCTCCTCTACAAGTAGCTTCCAAAGACAATCAGTGCATCTTCCACGTGGTGGGAATCACGTCGTTCGGGAAACAGTGCGCGAAGAGTGATAGCCCTGGAGTGTACACCAGGGTGTCCAGCTACCTCGACTGGATTGAGGGAATTGTGTGGCCCGGGGAGTAATAAACACTTTATTTAAATTAACACTGACCGTTTCATTTTCCTGTTTTACAAACTAGATGGCGTTGTGATGAAAACTTTCAGAGTGAGGAAGCCAGTACGGAAACGGAACTGAGTATAAACTATAGCTCGAAGAGATTAGACTCATGCATCCGTTTATCTATCCTTGAATTGAAGATGAAATTAGGACTGGAATATAACTGGCCAGTTTTGAATTTGAATATTTAGAATTTGGGGCTCATTTAATGACCAGGTCAGGAGATAGATAGTGGACCTTTACATTACATCAACAGCTTCTAATAGTCCACTACTGGACAAAGGCCTCCTAAGAGAGGAATTTTTGGCGACGGTATAGGGTTTGTTTCAAGTTTACGACACCTATCCCATGGGTGTCATAAACTTGAAACAATATAATATTAGTATATATATCTATACTAATATTATAAAGCTGAAGAGTTTGTTTGAACGCGCTAATCTCCTGAGATTAGCGCGTTCAAACAAACTCTTCAGCTATAAACTTCTTCAAATCGGACCAGTAGTTCCTGTACTGGTCCGATTTGAAAAATTATTTCAGTGTTAGATAGCCCATTTATCGAGGAAGGCTATAGGCTATATATCATCACGCTAAGAGCAAAAGGGGCGGAGCACCAATGAAAATTGTTTCAAAAACGGAGAAAATTTATTACTATTGAGAGACGCAGACGAAGTTGCGCGGGTCAGCTAATATATATATATATATAATCGGGGTGGTGATACTCCGTATTTTTAATCCGCCACCACATGGACATGTAAGGTTATTATTTATATATCACGTTCACCTCGACTCGTTTGACCTGTTCTTTGGTAAAAGATTCAACAATTTGGTTTTTTTGACTTAATTTCCTGTATCATTTCAAATTCATTTTCCTTAATACTTTGAATTTTTGTGGCGTTGGTTTTTGTTTTTTTACGTAAAATTGAAACTTGTTATATAGTAAGATAATAATCTTTTGTAATGTACACAGCATTATAAATAAAAGCAGTCGCACAATTTTAATCTATACTAGTCGCCCAAAGGTTGAAATTCAACCATAATTAATTAAAATTTAACTTTTAAGTTTGAATTTTACTAGGGTTTCATCATGGCTATAATGTATTTCTTATGAATGTTATTTAAAAATATTACTTTATGCATATAAACCTTATCTGTGTCCAATTTCATAAAATTGCACTAACGAATGATTCGTTAGTGCAATTTTCTTTAAAAGGGGTACAAAGTTTTTACTTCACGTATTAATAAATAGATACCTACCTAATTAATAGTAATGATTAAAAATATAACCTTAAATTTGTTATTACAAAGCGCGCATGACCATTTATGCCCGCTTTGTAATAACATTTTATGATTCAGGACCAAATATTAAGAACAGTTTCGGTGTTGCTTTACGTATGATAATTTAATACAAATATCACAAAGATTTGGGGATTTTTTCGTTATAAAGATATACTAATAGTATCTTAGTAAGAATTATATATTTGTTTAACATTTTCTGCATTTGATAGACGTCTCATGGCCACCAGTGGAAGATCCAGTGAGAGACATGACAGGTTCGTTAAAAAAACATTATTTTGAGAGTGTTTAGATAGATAGATAACTCTTTATTTGCACAAATTTTACAAGTATTATGGTACATAAAAATATCAAACATGCAATGTACAAAGGGCGGCCTTATTGCTAAGAGCAATCTCTTCCAGGTAACCGTAGGATGGATTAAAATGTTTTGGAGAGACAGTAGTAGTTGAAGGTGCAATGGTAAAGGTTTACATATATACATACAAATAGTAACTATAATAGTAAAACTTGGAACACTCCCAATACCAGTATCCACCCAAGGTTGCTGCATCAGGTATGGCAATACCACTACAGTAACAGTACACCAAATTTCAAACCCATCTGAGTTGTGTAAGTAGGTGAGATCCCTTCATCAATAAACAAATGAGCTAATGATCTTCACACATTATTGCTAAGCACCAACTCGATCAGATCAGATTTCTAACAAAAATAAACGCATCATAATCGGTCCATTCGTTTAGGAGCTATGATGCCACAGACGAACACACATATGTCAAACTTATAATACCCTTTTTTTTGAGTCAGCGCTTAAAATACATCAATATTGTTCAAAATAGTTAGTAGTAGTTTGGTAATACTTGAATAACATTTATGATATTTGTAAAATCGAGAGTAGATTGGAATTTTTAACCGACTTCAAAAACACAAAATGGAGCTTCTCAATACGACTGTTTTTTTTTGTATGTTTGTTAGCGATATTATATCCGTCAATTGTGGACCGATTTAAATTCTATAAAACAGACTAGAAGGTATCCAATGCTTTTATAATATTACCCGTTGTATTGAGGGTCGCTCTTATTTTAGTTTTTGTAATTATTTTTTGTGCTCTTTCTTAGTATCGTTTGAAGTCGGTTCAAATTTCTTTTTTAAGTATTTATTGTTACGAGAATTGACCCTCTGTTCAGATGACAGATATTGAATGAGTGTCTCTATGGTCTCAAAAGTTAAAAGGTGAAATTGGTGGGTAAAAAATACACCTATTGATGATTACATTTATTTTTAAAACTTGGTTGAACAATTTATTCATTAGGCCATACTATCTTCTCTATCCAGTCCAGATAGCTCGAGACCCTAGTGTATACCGAAGGTCTCTTGTTGTCTTCACATGTCCTTCCGAGTGATGTAATTCCAATTATGTGGAAGATACACGGCGAGTCCTTTGAGGTCACTTGGAGCGGAGATCCGGGTTCACCCTGAAAAAATTAACAATAGAATTTTATCTATATTTACAAAATTACTTTGCCCTGACTGATTCACCAACGCAGTGTCTCAACGGCTGGATCTATAAACTTGAAATTTAGGTCTTTTTCTTTGTGTCAACGAGTCATCATCATCATCAACAGCCTTTAATAGTCCACTGCTGGACATAGGCATCTAATTAGAAAGGAGGTTTTGGCCTACTATACCATGCTGGCCAGACGGGTTGATATAGGGTTTGTTTCAACTTTTCCTTCTTTATGCAGTGAAATTTTGGTAGATGTTGCTCTATACGATGTAAGCACCACGGAATATAGCTAATTTTTAATAAATGAAATTAGCTTTGGTTAGCCAATTTGGGTTGCAGCTATTCCCCAATCCACCCATATAAGCGTTATCCCTTTCCTGCTCACCTTCCTTTCAAAATACTCTCAATCAATCGATACCTACTCTCTCCAATTCTGTTGAGAAGGGGAGAAAGTGGCAACTTGATTTTGTCTTTTGGAGTGATTTCCTGTAACGGTAATGCGTAACAGGAAACCGTGGAAGCGTGCGCCAATTGATTTGAAGGAGAGCTCACGGTGCTGGGGTAGGAAATCAGATGGTAGATGTAATTTCAGATATTACTCCTCATATGCGACCAGTGCGACTACTAGTAAGGCTATTAACATCACCAGTGTTATTTTTTTTTGTTGCTGTTTATCATGAGGGAGGACAAGAGCCCAATTCCCCCCCCCCTTGTTACTCTTTTCTTTCTTTTAAAAAGGGGGACTTTACAAACATACAAGATACGGACACAACGTACAACCAGACTCAGAACTCGTCCCATGTGGGGATCCAACCCACAACACTCAGCGTAGAAGCTTATCGACCGCTTGAACCACTACGCCATCCGTGCAGTCTTGACTTACAGGTGTCACTTACCATCAAGTGACCTGTCTGCTCGTTATGCCATAAAAAACCTTCTTTGGTAGGAGAAGCATTTGAAGAAGAAAAGCCAGTTGGTTAATATGTTCTTTTCTCACCTGACAAAAATCCTGTGCGCCAAGTTTTGCAGCACACACCTGGGTGTTCATAAGGATCTGATAGGTGGCAGGCACTGGCAGCATAGACTGGCAAATGTCATTCTCCAACAATAACAGTACGACTCTCTTTAGCTGTTTAGTCATCTCTTTATTTGCTATAACATTGAAATTGTAACAATTCGTAGTCTATATATTCTGTGCATGTATGTATGATAACAAAAGAAGAAAGGGAAAGAGCCAGCGAAGAGGGACAAGGAAAATGCAAACGATAATGGCCCCAGGGTTTGGGAACGGGGAACGGGAACTTCCTTTACCGTTCTCTTACCCTTTCATTTTCCCAATGTAAGGGTTAAGGAACGGGTAAGGGAAGAGGAAGGTAAAGGAAAAGAACAATATTTAACCCTATATTTGTATCTACCTATTTGTCATTATTTCGTATCTTTGAGGACTTACCCGAATAAGATTCTCCCCACCCAGAGTTAACAGCGTTATTGTATCCTGGAAAGTTTGGCTTCGTCCAGAGACAGGCGGGGCGAATGTAATTATTGAAAGCGACATCTGTTGCAAGTTCCAGAAGTGCAATGTTGTTGTAAGCCTTTGGTGGTAAAAATTCTGGATGTTTGTGAATGTGACGGATTGGTACCTGCAACATCCATACTAATATTGTAAATGTGAAAGTGTGTCTGTTTGTCTGTCTGTTACCTCTTCACGCTTAAACCGCTCAACTGAAATTTGGTATAGAGATAGTCCGAGTCCCGGGAAAGGACATAGGGGAGTTATATCAAAGAAATCATACTTTAAGGAGGTGAAAAGAGTGGTTTTCCAGGTTTTCACTTCTGTCGGAGACTCCCGGAGTGCTAGTGGTTTTTTTGAGCATAGAATGAAGAGTCTGAAGTGTATTTGAGGCCCTCCCCCTCAGAATGAGTGGTAGGTAAGGGGATGGGGTGGTCGGGCTTTAGTAACCTTACTTACTAACACCAGTTTTCTGTGAGGTCGAGGATCACTCCGTTTAAGCCTAGCCCAAATTTGAAAAAGCATGGCTTTGCCACACAGAAAGCAAACTTTTTTGTTAATTTAACCTAACAGTTTCGATATACCGTGGATTATAAATTTTGCTGCCGTTTGCCCGTTTTTGTAACCTGATCAGAAGACCCTTCCCAACTTTTGAAGTGATATAACACTCATTATTTTACACGAATAAAATCAACACTTACGTCAATAGGGCTTGCTCCATCATCAACTTTATCATCTAGATTCTGGTCACCGAGCCTTACAATAGCAGGTGCATGGTCCTTCGAGCCCCTCTTACTGCTGCATTGTCCAGAGGTAAGAACGAACCTAGGACTAATGAGACTTCCTCCACAGGAAAATACGTATTTGTTGTTGGAGTCCAACCAACCTATAGCAGCCTGTATTGGTAGAAAAAAAATCGGTTGTCTGTAAAGTCGGTTTACTGACGATAGTTGAACGTGACAACGTCATAAGAAAATACTAATGGAATGGTTGCATTTTTCAAAAGAAAATTTTAATTTAATTTGTTAGACAGATGTCAGGCCGATTGTGCTTCTTTGTCGCTCGTTCCGCTCTCGCTTGCACTTCAAGCCTTAAATGGAACGCCTCAGAGCGAGGTAACGCCGCATGAGTCATGTTTTTTCGTGCGTGCAGCCGGCTCCATCGAATTATAAGACGTTGTCACGTCAAAAAGCATTTTATTTGTTTAAAGCTTGTGTGGCGCAGTGCTAGATTATTTGACTGTAACTTCAGGGATCTCTAAAAGAAAATATTAGCTGTGGATTCACTCACATCTTCGTCCACGACGAGATAGAGAGAAACGCCCACATTTTGCTGACTATAACATTTTTACTCCCGCTTACGTTATCATCCATACCTCCATACTTCCATACTTATATGAATACTATTATTATAAATGCGAAAGTTTGTCTGTCTGTCTGTTACCTCTTCACGTTTGTCCTGTGGAACCGATTTAGATTAAATTTAGTATAGAGATAGTTTGAGTTCCGGGAAAGGACATAGGGTAGTTTTTATCCCAGTAATCATTCTTAAGGAGGGTGGAAGTTTTATTGCGAATCAATAACTACTGAACCGATTTAAATGAAATTTGGTAACGAGATAGTTTGATTCTTAAGGAAGGACAAAAGCAAGTATATGAAAAATGTGAAAGTGAGTTTGTTTGTTTGTTACGTTTTCACGCCTACACTACTAAACCGATTTAAGAATGCTTTCATGGTGCTCATCACACAATATTCGTCCTGGCTCGAATCGAAGCCACAGTCAAGATCGCTAACCAATAGACCAACAAGTACTAAAATTAGTTCCATTGCTTTCAAAACTGATAGGAAATGTACACAACATCCAAAAACTTCCAAAACCTTTTTATCCGCTTACCATGTGTGGATACTGTCCGGGTCTAGCGTTGTCCCCTCCGATAGAAATAAAGTCATAATCACATGTAATGGGCGTAGGCGCTGGATCCGGGAGGAGCGCTATGGGTACCTCTTTAGGTGCAAAACTGCTGTACTCTTCACATTCTGAAAGAAGATCAGAATACGGGAAATTAAATTAAAGTTCAGAGGACCTAAAATGATGTTTTCGATAATGTACTAGTACATTTTTCACATGTACTCGATGCGATGCGATTGGTGAAGCTTTCGGCCAATCGCAACACCGAAAGCCGTCGGTAGAGTAGATCTAAAATAAACTCACACTAGGATCGATATGCTCACACTATAGTTAAACCGCCGTAAGCTTGGCCCTCCTGATGGTTTGGGGGACGCGGGGCGGGGGTGCATTCAACCAATTAGCTAGTGCGTCGCTGTCCGCCGGCAGTGACTGACGTGAAAGCATGGCTGTACGTGTTATTTTTCTTAAGACTGCTACACACGGTATTATTTTGCAACATGGATAATCTGCCGACTCTGCGTCACAAAAAGATTTAAAAACTTGAAAAAAGTTCGGCTTACATAGTTTCTACTGTTAAAGTTCTAATAAAGAATATTTATTATTTTACTTATTTTTTAAATTGTATCTGAATATAATTTACATGATGAAGATAAGGTGATTTTATTAAAATTATTTTACAGTATTAAATTTTACAATTAATCATAAAAACTTACAATACACTGACATTATAATACATGGAAATAAATTCGATTTTTATTACATCGTGTGTAGATTAAATCTCAAACAAATAAATCTGAAGATATCGAGTTAGTACATCGTGTCATGTATAGCCGCGCGCATCACCCGCCCCGCGTCCCGCAAACCATCAGGAGGGCCAAGCTTACGGCGGTTTAACTATAGGATCGATGACCAGGCGCCGGTGGTCACAGAACGACATCAGGGAGTAGATTGGGGACACCGTGATCTACAAGCCGTAGGTAGTCCTTTCTAAGGAGAGGCATATGTCCAGCAGTGTACTATTAAAGTTATTAAATTACTCGGGCTATGGCTCTCACATTTCCCAGTCCATTCGAATAAACAATATTGCTTTTCTACCTTACGCAAAGTTTGCTTTACCTTTTGCTTTCTTATTTTAAGGTTTACCGTTAATTTAATACAGCTATTATTTGTGCAAATCATCACTTCGTTTCTTAGTTAATGGAAACTCATTAACTTAAACAACTCTGATTTGGTATTTCAATAATATGTTCCAATTGAACTGCAGCCAAATGTTGGGTTTTTACTGGAGGCCTGGAGTCGGGGGTGTAAAATTTCAATTTGTTTACTTACTTCTCTCACTCAGTCTTCTTGTAACTTTTTCTCCATTGGTCCCAACAGGAATTTGTCTGAAAAATATATGCTTTATAAAATACATGTATACATCTTGCGTACTGGTCGTCTTGTTTGAATGTTATGTTTTAATGCATTTTTATTTCAAACTTTGCGACTGAATGCGGTCGGTAATTTATGTAAAAACAAAAACAAAAATTTAGAAGGGGACGATTACTAAAAATATTTTTATGTGTGGGACTTTGCTCCACGGTATGACTTGTGTATAAGAGCATGCGCACTGGGTCACATTTAACAGACTGATGTTGCGTCCTGTTCTATCACACGGATTTCGGACGCTCTACTTTCTCTCTCGCACATATTTAATCGCTCCGATTTTAAAACTTTATTGCAAGGCAAAATAATATTCCATGAACGTGTTTTTGCAAGCAAGCCTCCACTGTTATTTTGGAAATAAAATTATCTTTCTTCTGATACCAATTTTTATTGTGAAGTGAAGGTGAATTTACCTGTTCATATGTTAAAAACTATCTGTTGATACTAAATTCGTTTGGTAATCTTAAGAGTGAAGGTGATAAAAAAAAAAAGTCATGAACACTTCGATAGGCAAGCTATTATGGGCAGCTTTATAAATCAATAAAATTTTATAAAAGGAGGTCTCATCTAATTATCAGATGGGTGAAGGTCGATCTACCACGGGCTCTTAGACCATATCAGCACTATCTCGTTTCAGCTTTTTTTTTAAAAAAAGTTGAAAATTTGGCCAAAATCTATTAATTAAAAAAAACCTTACAGAACTCATTCATTCATTCCTTCACTCACGCTTTTTTTATTAAAATAATAACTTAATTTTTGTTGTCTCACACAGACTTATTACGTACTAGCTGAGACCCGCGGTGTCTGTTGTTATAACCGCGGGCAACGCCGCGGGGAGAAGCTAGTCTAAAAAAAGTAGCCTAAGTTACTCCTTATGTCATCAGCTATCTGCCAGTGAAAGTCCCGTCGAAATCGGTCCATCCGTTCCAGAGATTAATCGGAACAAACCGACAGACAAAAATTGTAAAAAATGATATTTTGGCATATGTACCGTGTAAACATACATATGCATTTAGTAAAAAGCGGTTATTTTAATATTACAAACAGACACTCCAATTTTATTTATTTGTATAGATAAGTAGCAGGTAGCGGCTTAAACTAGCAGTAGTAATTAGTATAATTTCATGATATCTACATATGTGTGAGACTGGTGCCTGCACTAGGAGACCTGTATGACAGATCACCAGTCTCTCTAGACTTTTGACAGTTTGATTCAAGTGTATTCAGGTAAGTGACATTTTTAACCCCCGACGGAAAACGTGTGTTATAAGTTTAACCTGTGAATCTGCGTATCTGTCTATCTGTGCATCATAGCTCCCGAACAGATGGACCAATTTCGATGCGGTTTTTTTGGTCGAAAGCCGAATTGATCGAGATGGTTCTTAGCTGTAAATTTTGAAGATCATCAGTTCACTTCATTGGTGATGAAGGGATTTCACAAAAATCTACAGGTAAGATTTTGATAGTATTATAACGACATGGTAACCTGGAACTTGCTGCTGCATTACGTAGCCTGCGGGATAGCCAACTCCTCAGAAAATTACAGCATATGTACCATGTTATAACCATGATATTCGAGTCCTTTCGTTGTAATTGTTTTTTCTTCTTTTTTTGATTTTTTAAAATGTTTTTAAAACGATTTTATGTTACATGTAGAAAAATGCTATTGTTAAATTAATTTTATATTTGTACACCGGTAACGGTCAAACATGTCGATCAGGCAATATTACTTAACATCTTTAATGTACACATGTTTATGCAAATAAAATATCTTGTATCTTGTATCTTGGGCATTACAGTATTTTGTTCGTGTCGGGGGTTTTTTAATATTTTTATATTACTATGCATTGTGCACATGTGTGTGAAATCATTGGGTTGAGAGGATGTGCATTATTGTATGTGTGTGTTTGCGCGCGCGCATTAATTCTAAAAAAGAGCACAACAGGGCCAACGTACTTTTAAATAAGTATTTTTTAAAACAATTTGTTGAATAGTATGCCTTACTCATTATGGCTGGGATTCTCTGCTGTCGTGATAAATTCTTCTCTGCAGCAGATCACAGGCTGCCCATGAACGCGATACGAACAGAATGTCGGTTTTTTTCCAAGTGTGCTGTAATCATGACGAGTAATATCCAAAATAATTAATTATTAAAAAATTGCCACCGACGTCATTCAATCATTATGATGAAACAAACGGGAAGTCTAAACTTTCAAATAAAAAAATATTATTTAAGATCGGTTTAAAAATAACGGACTTCTGAGGTAACACACGAGAAAAATCCACAACCGAATTGAGAACCGTTTAACAACGACTTAAATAGCCGACTAAGTGTGCATTGGGACTAATACGAAACTTCTGTTTTTGATCATAATCATCGCAGGCCAATGCTGATCATAGGCCTCTCCCATTGCACGCCACTTCGATCGATTTTCGACACTCACGTCTGTTTTTTTTTTTCTTTTTACATACAACTCCCGCATTAGGAATATATATCCTGTATCGCTAGGAACTTTACAAACTTACATGAAACGGACACAAATAGCACCCAGACTCACTGGTTCATACAGTGGTGTCCCATCGGACCCACAATACTCAGCGTAGTAGTAAGCGGGGTGCCGACCGCTTTAACCACTATGCCATCATTGCAGTCAAAAAATTTCATGTGTCCGTGGGCGATGGTAGTCGCTTACCATCAGTTGAGTCCTCTGCTCATTTGCCTTCTATATATAAAATTACTTAAAAACTATAAAAGTATTCGATCAGTCAATCTAGCGTTCATAATACAAACTCTGCTTAGTTTGAAACTAGATGGCGTTGTGTGTTATTATTATTATTATTGTTATTACTTCCCTGACTGACTGACTGATTCATCAATCATCAACAGCCTATACTAGTCCACTGCTGGACATAGGCCTCTCCTTAGGTTCATCAATGCAGAGCCTTAACCGCTGTTGCTACTAACTTTACATTTTGACACCTTTTTTATTTTATTTTTTCTGTGCGGAAATTCCCACATATACCACTGACCGGTGACAATGTCGGACTCGAACCGACTAAAACCGCACGTCGTCTCAGGTAACAGTAGTCGGGAACCAGGTGTACATGGTGTGTATAGAAAGGAAATCCCTGGTGCCCCGACACATAACATTTTGACACCTGAAGCTTTTTATTTTGTTAAGGGGGGTAAAATATGAGATCAACGGTTGTATATAAGTTGGACACACAATAAGAAATCTCCGTGAGTACTAGCTTTTTTTATAGTGTTCTTACATGTAGTCAATTTTGCCTATTTCACATTGGATCAGAGGCTTACATCGGCCAACTGCTTTCGTGATCACATCCGTACAAGACTCTCCTTCTGCAAACATAAAAGGAGTATGCATTACTATGTAGGAATGACTTTTATTATGTGAGAGGGAGCAGACGGGTCACCTGATGGAAAATGACTATCGCCGCCCATGAACGTCTGCCACTCAGGAGTCACAAACGCGTTGCCGGCCTTTTAGGAAGGAGTTCTCTTTTCTGGAAGATTTGAAGGTCGTATCAGTCCGGAAATACCGCTCACAATAAAAAAAAGGACACAATCGCATTTATCTCTTCTAGATATCGCGTGGCGGTCGAATTTCAAACCTATTGATTTTTTTACTTGTTACATATACTACACATAGCGTGGCGACGCATGTCGTAGTGTCGCGTCGCCACGCCAACGGGTGGTCTGACTCACCATTAGATGTTTCACATCAAAATTTAAATGAAACTTATAGCACCTAAGCAGCACAGGTTCTTTTAGTAATAACAGTTAGACGGCCGAATGGCGTAGTGGTTTGTGTAAAGGACTGCTATTCCAAAGGTCGCGGGTTCGATTCCCGCTCAAGTCAAACATTTGTGTGCATAAACTTTTAATGATTGATTTGGTCTGGGCGTTTCTATGTATAATATGTAAGTATTTATTTACAAACAAAAAGTATATATGTATTGTCTAGTACCCCTAGTACAAGCTCTGCTTAGTTTGGGACTAGATGGCATTGTGTCAATGTGATAGAATACTAGAATTATATAGAAATAGAATTAGAATTTAATAAGTAAGAAAAATACTAGTCGGCAAAATTTAAGACGGGGTTAAGACGCCGTGATAAGATAAGATAAGTTAAGAAGACGTGAGTAAGAACTTAGCAGAGCTCACCTTGTTGACCGCTGACTGTCGCCAGCGCGATCAAAGCTAATGAAACGAAAAGCATCCTTCAATCCTTCACTTCACGTAATTCCACTAAACTAGAAGAATGAAAGTGAAACCTGTAAAACATAATAAAAATAGCATTTGAATAAACAAAAGCATTGAAAACAACAACAAAACTGATTGCGTGAAAGTTGTATACTTATAATTTCTTTCATTATTTTATCTTTTATACTCTTTTGGCATTTCTTGCTCCAAATTACATTTCAATATTATATAAGTTGCTGTTCGTGTGGTGACGGATTAAGAATATGGAGTGTCACCACCCCTATTCCTCCCGTGGGTGTCGTAAGAGACGACTAAGAGAGCAAACTACGTAGGACAATAGTACTGCAAAGAGAAGGAAAACTTGAAACAAACTCTATACCAACCCGCCAGCGTGGTTTAGTAGGCCAAAACCTCCTTTCTAAGGAGAGGGCTATGTCCAGCAGTGGACTAGTAAAGGCTATTGATGGTGATGATGAAGTTGTAAATATATTTTTGTGAGATTTTTTTTTATATCTGTTGGTGGTTAGGGGTTTTTGTCTATTTAGGCCTGTCAACGCCATTGTATCTTCTATATGTATAGTTTACAAATAGGTCGCAACATTTTTAAAACTCCATTTCATAGGAATAAAAAAAAATGGAAACATAAAATGGCGCCAAAACTGATATTTAAGTTTTTATTATTTTGGAATAGGTACCCACTAAAGCCAAAATCTATGAATCCTTTTAGGCTACCATAGATATCAAAGAAATATACATACACACATACTATATATACTACATTCTGGAATTCATTCTGGAAATACAACTAAAACAACTCTCTTTTAAATTAAATCTGGTATTTAAAAGACATTTTCTATGAAGCTGTGGTATCACACAGAGCAAATACAAAAAGGAGGTGTCGTAATTAGATTTCCCTATGAAACAACGCTTGACAATTTGAGAGGACAGGTGGTGTTAAGCTCCGCCGTCTTCATTTTCCATATACCAAATAAGAGTAGGCCAAAACCGCCGTTCCAGGGAGAGGCCTATGTCCAGCAGTGGATTATTAAAGGCTGTTGATGATGATGATGTAATAGTGACAAAACTACTCGCATCTTTCTATATCAAGGTTGCTATTTGGTTTAGCTATCTCACACAGGTTGTAAGAGACCCACTGAGAGTTTTCGTACCAGTGAGTGTTTTTTAAAGATTAATTTTGTTAATCATCTTGATACTTATATGTATTTAAAAAATCCTACTCATATTGTAATGGTACTAAACTCCTTAATTTTATAAAAGCGAAAGTTTATACGTCTTTCTTTCTCGTTGACTTATCCCACGCTATGTACTATGTGTGTGTGTGTTGGCTGCTATCACCTGTGTGTGCTGAAGCATGCTGTGTGTGTGTGTGTGTGTCCCACGGTTATATACATAAAATTTAGTATGAATATTTTATTTTATTTATCTTAATTATTATTATTAAATATTGTTTTGACTTACGTAAGTTGTCGTAAGTTGTTTATCCTCCTTTGAACCGAAACAGAATGGGACTGGTCTTAAAACAACTGTGTGTCTGATGAATAATAATATTTTTAAAGTTAAGAGCCTTGTACATTAACCATTCAGATAATAGTATTTTTTATAAGCGGACGGGTCACCGGCAATCGCCCTACAACAACCCAACTGGGTAGCGTGATATTATAGTAGGCCAAAACCTCCTTTCTAAGAAGAGGTCTATGTCAAGCAGTGGACTGTTAAAGGCTGTTGATGATGATGATGGGTCATGGGAAGAGTAAAAAGCCTCTGGTATTTTTAATTACAAGCTTCTATTTAACTTGCAATGTTTGTATGTTTGTGTTCGTTGCGAATCTTGGAAGCTAAATTAGAACCACTTGCCGATGTTCGATGGACTCCAATTTGGTGTTCATATGTATCGTCAGTGCCAATACCATAATATGGGACCGTGGAGCTGTTCTGATGATGGAGCAGGAAGAGCAGAAAGGAACTTCTTTTCTAAACAAGATAAATCCATCGAGTTTGGGCTCATTTGTTTTGCCTTGGTGAGTATTTTGGTGCTGCATAATATCCAGGGTCTAAAAAAGCTGTTTTTTTTTTTCTTTTTTTTTTTTTTTTTAATTATTTAGTCAGATGTTACATTATTATATGCGACTACTATAAAGCTCAGTCTTTTTTAGGGTTCCGTACCTCAAAAGGTAAAAAAGGAATGCTTATAAGATCACTTTCTTGTCCGTCTGTCCGTGTGTAACCACCGATTTTCTCAGGAACAGGTAGACTTAGCAAATTGAAATTTATACCAGATACTGAGGTATATTATATTATATACACCTATTAGGTGTATAAAAATCAAGTTCCTGAGTCAACACCATAAAAAGATATAGGCAAATTTCGATTTTCGCGAAAACTTGTAAGTTTCAAAATTTTTAACTTTTTTTATTTTTCAGAATTTTCTCTTTACTTGTGCTGTAAGACCTTGCTTTTAACCAAAATTGTCAATTCTAGGTCAACCGGAAGTCCCTATAGGTTTTGGGTCGAAAACCTATATGGTAGTCCCGTTAACCTAGAATTACGAAATTAGGCAAAAATAAACGTCTTACAGCACAAATAAAGTAATAATTCCAAAAAATAAAAAAATTGAAAATTGAGATAAATTTTGGTACTTACAAATTTTCGCGAATTTCTACGTAAAATCTGGGTAGGTACGGAACCCTCGGCGCACGAATTCGACTCGTACTTGACGTCATAATCTTCTATATTTTAAATTTCAGTTTTTGCAAATAAGCTAGTGTACCATGTATATACCTCTTAAGCTTAAACCGGTTTCATAAATTTATAATGTGGACATCCTGACCAGTCATAGTACAACATTGAAGGAGGATAAACGCGTATTAATTAATTCTTAAAATGTTTTGCAATCTTTAACTGATTACGTAATTCCAAAACAGTCTTGTTTATAACAAAGAAACTTAAATAGGTATTAAAATCAAAAGTGTCAGCATGAATTGTGTGTTCTGTGATCATATCGTTATTATGTTTGAATGGAACTGCGACACATAAGATAGGTGAGTTTTTATTATTTTTCTATAGAAATCACATAACATCAACAGAAAATCCACAGTTTGGCAGTTGTTACGGGTTTGTGTCAAGTTTTCCTTCGCTTTGCAGTGCTGTTGTCCTGTGTAGTTAGCTTCTTTAGTCGGCTCTTAACACTAATGGGATGAATGGGGGTGGTGACACTTCGTACTATTATAGGCATGCCTATTAAGTTCTGTCGTTTCCATATTCCCGGCAATTTTGAATTTGGAACTGTCCTATATTTGAATGTGTTTAGTTTTTTAATCTCAAAACAGTTGAAAGTAAACTCGGTTCCAAAAATAACGGGTCAGTCACATAAACCCGAATATCTCCCGAACTACGTATGCCATCCTAATGAAACGAAGACTGTTCAATTGAGAATTTAATTATACAGATAAAAAATAAAATAAAACAAATCTAAACTCTAACTCTTAACTTATCTCTAAATTTAAAAAAAAAAACTATAGTCATATTTTTCTTAAGATTACATTTTTTTATGATTGTTTTTTTGCTGTTTTTCATCACTTTCTTCATTTAATACTTTGTATTGCCTCCACGAGCTCTTCTGACAGCTTCCAGGCGATTAGGCATGCTGTACACCAAGTTTCGGAGCCGGTGCTGAGGAATACCTTCCCATTCCTCCACCAGTGCTTGTTTGAGCTCGGGAAGCGTGATTGGTGGGGGGTTTCGACCTTTCACGCATCTCTGAAGCTCGTCCCAGGCGTGCTCGATGGGGTTTAAGTCCGGGCTTCGCGCTGGCCACTGCATGAGTTCGATACCGACCTCTTCAAGGTAGTCATGTACAATTCTGGCGGTATGGGGACGCGCATTATCATGCATTAATATGCCATGCCGGTCCATCCTGGCCATGAAAGGATCTACATGTTCATTAAGGATCTCTTCCACGTACCTCTTTGCATTTAGAGTTCCATTTTGAATGAGTACCAGCTCGGTGCGGGCCTCAGTAGAAATCCCAGCCCAAACTTGTACGGAGCCTCCACCGTACGCCACTTTTTCCTCCACACAGGCTTGATGGAAGCGCTCCCCTGGTCTTCTGTACACCAACTGCCTACCATCATGCTTATAAAGCATGAATTTAGACTCGTCCGTGAACATTACCCTAGACCAATCGTCTAGTGTCCAGTTTAAGTGCTCGCGCACGTATCTCTGTCTTGCAATTCGATGTCCCCGTTCCAGTTTGGGGCCATTTGCGGGCCTCAATGGTTTCAAATTTGCTTCAGCAAGACGTCTTCTTACTATTTGAGCGTTTAAATTGCCACCTCCAAAGCGAATAAAGTAAGTTTTTAGACCAACAGCAGTTTGAAAAGGATTTCGGAGCATTGTAGCCACCAGTTGTCTGTCTTCCCTGGCCGTTGTGCATCTTGGTCTGCCATTTCCTGGTCTTCTAAGGTGTGATCCGGTCTCTTGGTACCGCTGGACTACCCGCTGAACAGTCGACAAAGATACACCAATGTTTCTGGCTGTTTCACGCTGGCTCCGCCCAAGTTCCAAAAAATTTAGGATTCTGGTACATTCCTCTAGCGTGACTGCCATGCTTCACCTCACAGAATAATAATTATGCACGTGGAAGACGTTCACGATAATTTTTTTTGTGACAGAATAGAAATGGAAAGCATCTATAAGGAAATGAAACAAAAATTTTGTTTTTAAAAATAGCCTTTATTTTAAATTTTGTTTTTCTAATGACGTTTTTTTCATCAACCAGTTTAAATAATATGCTTTTAGAAACGCAACTAAAAGGTCTTTATTCTGTTTTTTATTTCATTGATCTAACTTTTACAGTTCTGGAGGTATTTCAATTTTTGTGACTGACCCGTAATTTTTGGAACCGAGTGTATTAGGATTAATGCTATTGTTTAGTCACAGCGTCGATTGGAATCTGTCAGGTTACGTACGCAAATGAATCTTTCTAAGGAAAATGTTCGTGCAATAATTTTCTACAACTTTAGAAGAGGCCTGACACGGCTTCAGTGTTTTGAAGAGCTAACATCTGTGTTCAGTGATGAAGCCCCATGTCTGCGGACTGTCGAACGCTGGTATTTAGAATTCCACAGTGGACATACTAGTGTTAGTGACAAATCTCGCGAAGGACGCCCAAAATCCGCCTTCACTGAAGATAACATCATTGCTGTAAGACAACTAATCCTCGAAGATCGTCATGTGACGTATCGAGAGATAGAGGCTCTATTAGGCATCTCAGGGACAACCATTCAGAAGATCTTGCATGAAGCGCTTGGTGTGAGAAAGCTAGTTTGCTGTTGGATACCGCATCTGCTTTTCGACGATCACAAGGCGGCCGAAGATCAGATGGTGTAAGAAAACTCTGCAAAGGTTCAACCGAGGAGAGTCAAATCACGTCTACGACATCATCAGTGGGGACAAATCTGATATCTATGCCTACGATCCTGATTCCAAACGACAATCTACAATCTGGGTCTTTCAAGACGAGCCAAAGCCGACTAAAGTTGTTCGTTCTCGAAGCACTTCAAAGAAGATGGTGGCCACGTTCGTTGGAAAAACCCGCTATGTTGCGACTATTGCACTTGAAGATCGTAGAACGGTTATCGCAGAGTGGTATACCGCAGTTTGTTTACCACAAGTCAGCGCCGAAATTCGAAAATCTAACTGAAAGCGACGCATCATCCTGCACCACGTCAACGCAAGCTCACACAGCGCTCGTCAAACGATTGAGTATTTGAAGCAGGAAAAAGTAGAAATTCTTGACCATCCTCCATACAGTCCTGACTTAAGCCCAAACGATTTCTTTACATTTCCTAAAATTAAAAAAAGTCTTCGTGGTCAAAGGTTCCAGTCCGGTGAAGAAGCAGTCGACGCTTTCAAATCAGCCATTTGGAACATCCCCACTTTAGAGTGGAATAAATGTTATAATAACTGGTTTGAGCGAATGGAAAAGTGTATTAAGCTACGTGGTGAATACTTTGAAAAACAATAAGAAGTACTAAAAGGTTCTAGTTGTGTTTTTTTCTTCAAACGACAAAACTTAAAAGGCATGTCTCAATCCGTCACCACACGTACACACTGAATTGTCCTCCATTATCAATTTAATGTTTACTTATGTGTATATTAATGTAAAGGAGTCCGCTCATGATCGAGAGGTGTACCGTCTGCTGACCTCCAAACTTCATTTTGAGGATGGCACCCCATGATGATGATGATGATATTAATGTAGTGCAAACTGAATTTTAATGTGTGGTTCTTCTGTATTGGTGCTATTATTACATATAATATTATACAGCGCATTAGGGAAAATTCGCTTAGCTTAAGGTGAAGGTTATACAGTATTTTTATTGTACGTTAACGTGTATAGGTCAAAAAAATACAAATAAAACATGTTTGTGCAATGTAGAGACTACTAATACTACTATAATTATGTTAGGACTATACCACAGGACATCTTTAAAATCAATATTTATAGGCCCGCTGCCACCAGGTACAGCCTCTAATATCTTCTAAATTTTTCGTTTAACTGATATGCTATAAAGAGTTATTTTAATCTACATTAAATGCACAACGTATCTAACTGTTGTACATTTAGATAAGGAATAATTAATAATTAACGCATTAAAATCCATTGCTTAGTTTAAATGATCTAAGCGTACAACATAAAAAAGCGACTTCATTTTACACCATGTAAAGATAACAATTTGACAGAGAAAGCTTATAAAATAACAGCTTCTAGAGAAACCACATAGGTTTATTTACGGGATCCTCTGACCAGTCGAGGTGATAATGCCTGCTAGGGCGGCCCTTAGATAGATAGATTACATAAAACAGTTGCAAAACCCTATAAGGGTCAAGGAAAAAATTGACCTATCATGGTACAGAAGTCTATTTAATGAAAAATCAAGTTATTCTGGTCGCTTGTTATAATTACGACCCTCATTTTTTTTTACCTTTTTTAATTCCAGATCTAATTTAAAAGGACGACACTGTAATGTAACCAAATATGAAAACAGCCGCCATGTATATTATTTACTTTATGCTGGTTCTCGTCACATCAGTGTGTGGACAGAAAGGTGAGGAAAATAGTATTTTTTCTAGTGTACAGGAAACAAGCGAGCAGACAGATCACCTGATGTTAAGCGACGACTGCCACCCATGGACACATGAACTCAAAGATTCAAGTATGTTCTTTGAGTCTTCTTTGATGCTTCCTACAGGTGAGTTTACCGGAGACCCAGCACTCTGTTACACAGGGTAGGGTCTCTGTCGTACCCAGTTACATGTTCCTTCGTCATTCCACTTTAATGCTCTGTACACTCGAATATACAGTTTCTACCAAAAGTAATATTCACACAGTTGTTTATGATATAAATTAAAGTTTAAAGGGCTTTTATGGTTGATCCCTAACTTTGTGTAGTTTAAAGGTCCATAAGTTGTAAGCTACAGGCCGTTGACTGTCTAGGGACTAGAATTACGTCCGTTTTTAAAGGATGCTCAACTAACCAACCTGCTCACCTTCATCACCTCTTAAAAGAAATAAATATTCCCTATTTTTGAAACATTTTCCATTGAAGCCCAGCTTCTATTGGTCGAAACGTGATGATATATATTTAGAGCCAACCAACACTAAAAGGTTTTTTTTTAAACATGATATTATCGCGTTCAACTAAAGAAAATCTTGTTATATAATATTACTATTGATAGAATATTATTAAGGCTTGCTACACACAAACTGTTTCCAAAAACTGGCCCGATATAAACTGCTGGCAACAGGCCAGCAGTTTATATTGGGCCAGCTTAATCATCAACAGCCTCTAATAGTCCACTCCTGGACATATGGCTCTCCTAAGAATGTAGGTTTTGGCCTACATTACCACGCTGGCCAGACGGGTTGGTATAGGGTTGTGTCATGTTTTTTTAATTCTCATTACAGTGCTGTTCCCCTGTGAAGTTTTCTCCCTTCTGCTGCCTTTCTACATCAGCGCAATCTCTATTGTGTGTACAAGTCCATATAGACAGAACTGTGTATTACTGTAAGGGTTTCTTTGTTTCCAGAAGGGGATACGTGTACAGACCAGTACACCACCGCCGCTGGCATTTGCAAGCCGGTGGAAGTATGCGAAACAGCTAAACAAGATTTACAGTAAGCAACTTTGTATTTATAACTGACATTATGTATGACTGCGCGAATGGCTCTGTGGTCTTAGCAGTCGTAACGCCGCTTCCTACTACGCCAAGTGTTGTGGGTTCGATCTCCATAAGACGACGTCTAGGTATTCTTTGTGTCCCTTTCAGGTATGTTTGTGAAGTCGCTCGCGACACAAGATATATTTCTAGTGCGGGAGTTGTCTTTAAAAAAAAGTTATGTCATAGACCATCCCAGGGAGAGTCATACTTCTGCACACTCGGGATGGCTAGGCTGGTGTGATACCACGATGTCACTGAAGACTGTGTGCAGCAGCTCTTGCGTTCCTTTTCAATGAGTGTGTGGTATTGCCGGGGCACAATCAAAGTATCGGAAGTAACTTTCCATCAGGTGACCCCGTCTGCTCGACTGCTCCCTCTAACATAAAAAAGAATCATCGCCGTCATTGATCATGGAAATGATGTCAATTTTAAACAAAGAAGGTTCAGAGAAAACAATCAGCTTGTATTCATGTTAGGCCTTTCATTAATAGTTGACTGGCCTGTTGGTTTAGTGGTTACTGAACCTGTCTGCTAAGCCAGAGGTCGTGAGTTCCATTCCCAGGACAAATAAATGTGTGATGAGTACGATCATTTATTTTGTGTCTGGGTGTAACTTATCTATTATATGAGTATGTTCGTTTTTAGAAATATTTAAGTATGTTTATCAGCAGTCTGGTTACCATAGTACAGGTTTTGCCTCGTTTGGGAATAACGGCCGGGTGTGAGATGTGTCCTTGTTGTCCTTGTGAGTTTTCATTATTATACTCGTAGTAATTACTTGTATTGATTTCAGAGAAAGCGGTATTCAGCCCACGTTTTGTTCGCCCACGGTCTCTGGAAATGCTGTGGTATGTTGCAGAGATGGGCTTAAAATCTTCGACACTCCAGCCACAGCACGTACGAGGTATAGTTAAACAATATCATCATTATTCTTATTGTCTATGACCAATGGCAGTAACACAAAGGGAAATAATAAAAAAGAGGTTGGAAATAAATATTCTCATTCAACTTTCAACGCCATCTAGTTTCAATAATAATCAACCACTGGTATCTTACTATAAAATATGGTTGTAACATAATGTAAGCAGTTTGTATGAGTCAATAAACATACAACTGTGACGTCCACTTACAATCAAAACATACTGCAATACTATCTAACACTGAACTATCATATGAGTGTCACCATCCCTATTCATCCCGTGGGTGTCATAAGAGCCGACTAAGGGAACCAATTACGTAGGACAACTGCACTACAAAGACAACCAAAAACTCGACAAAAACCCTATACCAACCCTGACCAGCGTTATATGGTAGGCCAAAACCTTATTTTTTAGGAGAGGCCTATGTCCAGCAATAGACTCCTAAAACATGTTGATGATGATGAAAATATTTACAACAAGGTGGTCCAACGACACGGTGAAGGACGCGAGAAGCCGTTAGGTACAGGAAGCACAGGACCAGTTGTTGTTAAGAGTCTTGGGTGATGCCTTGTCCAGCAGTAGACGTCTTTCGGCTGAGATGATGATGAATTGACATCAAATCCTAATCCCTCTTTTTTTCTTTTTTTAAACTATTTTTATGATTGCTAAACCAAATGATAGGAAATAATTTTTTTCTTGCCTTTTTTCTTGTCAGGGATTTTCCATCTTGGGGCTTTGAGGAGGGAAAGAGGATCAGTGAAAAAAGTAAGTAGATAAAATTCGTAAGGCTAAAAATAGATAAAAACCATCTTTAAATGGTTATACGAGTATTCAGTCAAAATTTGAGCTCCATCGCTGCAGTAATCTTTAAATTTTTGGAGCGAACACAAACCAAATTAATATTTTTATAAATATAGACATATATTATTGTTCTAAATTACATAAAGATCTGTTGAGCGGTTCTAGTGTGATAGAACAAATATCTGTATAAATTTTGATTGCATGATCTTATTGCAGAATGTGAGGAATACAGCCGGGGAGTGGTCAAAAGGGTGGACTATCTGCTCCTCCTCGTGAAACCAGAAATTTTCTCTATATCAGTGGACAAGTGTGACAACCGTCCTGTCTCTCTCCCCGCGCAGATAGCTGAACTAGGGGAATTCCCACACATGGTAAGGATCCTTAAAATAAATGACAAATTAATTGTAATGTCATGTTCAAAAATAAAGTTGAAGTATAGAATAAATAATGATAATAATAAAGTAGAAAATAAGGCGATACCAGATATCATTTCTAATCTATTATGTGTATAAAAGAAGTAACTGACAGACTCATTCACTGACTAATCGGTCAACGCACAGCTCAATCCACTGGGTCTAGAAGCATGAAATTTTGCACAAATGTATGTTCCTCCATTGTGCTCCCGCATTTTAAATCTCTGATATCTTCTAAGATAATCATTTTATTTTAATGATATGTTGTAATAAATTCTTTTTAACAAAAAGTTGAACCAACTTAAAACAATACAACACAATAAAGTTAAAAAAAACCGGTCAGGTACGAGTCGAACTCGAGCACCGAGGGTTCCGTACCTACCCAAAGTTTACTTAGATTTTCGCAAAAATTTGTAAGTATCAAAATTTATCTTAATTTTTAACTTTTTTTATTATTTGAAATTATTCCTTTATTTGTGCTGCAAGACGTTTCTTTTTGCCAAATTTCGTGATTCTAGGATAACGGGAACTACCATATAGGTTTTCGACCCAAAACCTATAGGTTACTTCCGGTTGACCTAGAATTGTCAATTTTGATTAAAAGCAAGTAAGTAAAGAGGAAATTCTGAAAAATAAAAAAAATTGAAAATTAAGGTAAATTTTGGTACTTCCAAGTTTTCGCGGAAATCGAAATTTGCCCATATCTTTTTATCGTGTTGACTCAGGACCTTATTTTTTATACACCTAATAAGGACCATAAACCTCAGTATCTGGTATAAATATCAACTTGCTAGGTTCACCCGTTCCTGAGAAAATCGGTGGTGACACACGGACAGACGGACAAGAAAGTGATCTTATAAGGGTTCCTCTTTTACCTTTTGAGCTACGGAACCCTAAAAAACTAAAATAAGTACCCTTAATATAACAGGTAACATTATAATAGCAATAGTCACTGCGAGTCTGATTGAAGTCTTGGAATCTCATTTTTAAGAGACAATCGGTTAATCCAGACAAATGACAGGCAATCATGACAGGCAGCAAATGTATTATGAGCAGATTGGATACTGTCTGTATCTGACTGATCGTCTTCAATGGTTAATTATTCCATTCAGCCCTGTAGTCAGAGACCTTTGCTTACTCACCGACTCAACCCTCGATTGGCGAGCTCAAGTTACTAGCGTGAGCTAGAAAGTAACTGGCAATTTGCGAACGTTATACTAACATTAGGTAATGTTAGTAGGATTGATTAAAACTGATTCTGCAAGGCATGGTGAACATGAACAAAAAAAACGGATCATTAATGATAATAAAAAAAATCGATGATTAATTTAAGTTTTAAATTTTGCAACTACGAAAATTGTTAGTGAGAAAACTGAAGTGTTATTTTTTTCCAACGGAGATCTATTTCTAAGCCTTTCAAGAAAAGCTCCAAGGAAGGAAAAAATCTCAAATTTATAGTTTAACAATTATCACACTTGTTCATGTTCAAGCAGCAAAAAATTATAAATTTACTATTGCACAACTAATTGAAAAATTGTAATAAAAAAAATCCGGCGTATTATTGTTCATTTATCTATCTAGTAGGCTCCTGAATCTTTTCATTTCTTAAATTTTATATTTAATATTTTTTCGGCTATAAAAAGCTATAGTACCCGTTTTCGGCTGTATTTTCATCGCTCTGGGAAAATTATAAATAATTTCCCAACAATTATAGTAAAAAACTTTTTTGAAAATTGCCTCGTCTTTTTAACCTTTTCTTAGATTTGAAAAAAATCAACTACTTTTTGAGATATTTACCATAAACTCAACCCTTTTTTTTTAGTTAATTGTTTATAACTTTTGCAATTGTTGCAAGAGAAACTTGGGTTTTTTTTAAAAAATCATCCACATGCCATTCCAGATCGAACGGTGCCTCGTTCATATTTTTCCGAGACTGCTGAAAAAATTTGACCAAAAAGGCACTTGTTGACTAGACTACACTTGTGTACACTTTCATGCTTCTAGACCCAGTGGTTTAAGATGAGCGTCGATCGAACAGTCAGTCAATCACTTTTTTCTTTTATAGTTTGCAAATTTGTTTTCCAGGTTGCTTTAGGATGGAAGGATCTTACGAAAAAATACAAGTTCAAGTGTGGGGGGAGCCTCATAAGCGAAAGATTTGTCCTAACTGTTGCTCAATGTAGCAGGGTTATTCCTACTAAGGAGGATCCCCCTGATAGTGACCAGCCGGTCGTCGTCAGGCTTGGAGACCTGAATTTAGATGACAGTGTCAAAGATGGTGTCACTCCAGTTGATGTAAGTACTGTTTATAGCAATCTTCTCAAAAGATATTTTCACTTTTTGTTTGTTGTTTTTTTTACGAGTAAAATCCATTATGGCTTTATTTACACTTCCTAAAAGTTATTTTATGTTAGTAGATATTTTAATTAAAGGATGGCAATATTAAATATACTATATAATATTGTTTAATCTCAAAATAAATTAATAGTAGATAACGCATTTCGTCTGAACATTACGTAGTTAATCAATTTATCTTATTTTTTTGTAGAAATTTGACAATTCTTAATAGCATATTGAAAGCATACATACATGATGACAGAAAAACTGTCAAAAACGTAAAAAGAACGTCATCCGCCGCTTGTGGTCTTCAAATACAATTGTCAGACTTGTCATTGTATTGACGTGACAACGTCTTATAATTCGATGGAGCCGGCTGCACGCACGAAAATACATGACTCATGCGGCGTTACCTCGCTCTGAGGCGTTCCATTTAAGGCGTGAAGTGCAAGCGAGAGCGCGGAACGAGTGACAAAGAGGCACAATCGGCCTCCGCCTTCGGCAGCGTTTGACATCTGTCTCTCTCCTACTTGAGTGAGCGATGCGTCCGCGTGGACAGCTGCTATACAATAATACATTTACATGTTTTCGTAAAATGCAACCATTCCATCAGTATTTTCTTATGACGTTGTCACGTTCAACTATCGTCAGTAAACCGACTTTAGAGACAACCGATTTTTTTTTTTGTTGGGTATCGGACTAATTTATATACCAAAGTAAAAACGATGTTTTCTTAATATTGCAGTCATTTAAAACTTCTTTTTACTACTACTAGCATATGCCCGCGGCCTCGTGTATGTCGATTATCGCGGTAAAAAGTAACCTATGTTAGGTACTCGCTGATAGTTATAACTAGCTGAGACCCGCGGTGTTACCCGCGTTTGTTGTTATAACCGCGGGCAACGCCGCGTTGCGAAGCTAGTCTAAAAAAGTAGCCTAAGTTACTCCTTATGTCATCAGCTATCTGCCAGTGAAAGTCCCGTCGAAATCCGTCCAGCCGGTTCAGAGATTACCCGGCACATACAGACAGACAGACAAAATTTAAAAAAAATGGTATTTTGGCATATGTACCGTGTAAACATACATTAGTAAAAAGCGGTTATTTTAATATTACAAACAGACACTCCAATTTTATTTATTTGTATAGATGTAGCTCTCCATTGTTGAAAGAATGTTTGAAATCGGTTTAGTGGTTTAGGCTTGAAAGCGTAACAAACAAACAAACTCACTTTTTCATTTACAATGTAAGTATGGATAAGCTCAAAATTTTAGTACTTGAAATGAAACTTCTTTAGAATCTAAAACTCGATGAAACGAAAATGCGTCACGATAAATAAACAAACACATAAATATATAGGATTAAGTCGGCGAGAGAATGAGATAGAATACATTACACATTATTTTTAATATAATATGTTGTCAATGTGAATATTTTTATCTTTTTATTTAATACTAACTGGTACCCGCGATTTCATTTGCGTGGAATTTGAAAAACGCTGCCTTAGAGAGTTCGATTTCCGGGTCGGGCAAAATTTTATATGGTTTTTGTGATTTTTAAAGGGTTTTATGAATTGCACACACACTTTTTTTTTTAACCTTTATTTTTTTTATATTACAGGTACCCATCCGTCATTTCCACACGCACCCTGATTATCGTCCCCCAAAAAGGTACAATGACATCGGTCTAGTTGAGTTGGAGAGAGATGTAGAATTCAACTCCTATATCCGACCAGCTTGCCTCTGGACCAGCCCTGACTTGTCAGGGTACGACAAAGTAATTACTACTGGCTGGAGCCTTATAAATAGAAACAGTAAGTCCCATACACTTATATTTTGCGGAAAAGCTGTTTGTTGTATGATAAGTCTTCTCCGTTATAGGGTTCCGTAGAATTAACAAAAACCCTTTTTTTTTGAAATAAAAAATAACAAAATCTTTTAAAAGACAACTCACGCAGTAGGAATATATCCTGTGTCGCCTGTCCTGGGTCTTTACAAACATACGTGAAACAGACACAAAGTACACCCAGACTCACAACAACAATCTTCTATACAAATAAATAAAATTGGAGTGTCTGTTTGTAATATTAAGATAACCGCTTTTTACTAAATGCAAATGTATGTTTACACGGTACATATGCCAAAATAACATGTTTTACAATTTTTGTCTGTCTGTCTGTCTGTCTAACACCGCGGGTCTCAGCTAGTTATTATTATAAACTAGCTGAGACCCGCGGTGTTACCCGCGTTTTTTGTTATAACCGCGGGCAACGCCGCGGGGCGAAGCTAGTCTAAAAAAATAGCCTAAGTTACTCCTTATGTCATCAGCTATCTGCCAGTGAAAGTCCCGTCGAAATCGGTTCAGCCGTTTCAGAGATTACCCGGAACAAACGGACAGACAGTGAGACAGACAGACAAAAATTGTAAAAAAAATTATTTTGGCATATGTACCGTGTAAACATACATATGCATTTAGTAAAAAGCGGTTATTTTGATATTACAAACAGACACTCCAATTTTATTTATTTGTATAGATAATAATACATATCACACATCTCACACGCGGCTTTCTGATCCCAAACTAGGCAGACTCTGTACTATAGTAACCATACTGCTGATAAACATACTTGTATATTTTTAAATAGATACATATTATAGATAAATTACACAGAAAAAATTACCGTGCTCATCGCACAATATTTGTCCTGGGTGGGATTCGAACCCACGACCTCAGGTTTAGCAGTCAGGGTCACTAACCACTAGACCAACAGGCCCGTCACACATTTGAGGATCACACAAAGCCCACAACACTCGCCGAGGAAGCAGCTAGGTGACCGGATCAGTTTCATCTTTCTTTCCGTCTGTCTGGGTTAAGTTAGTGTCAAAAAATCTTTAATTCACCCATCCCACAGCGTGGGGTTATTTATTCATATCATCTCTAAATACGGTCAGAGCAAGGCTGTGACTAAAACTGCCGGTGAACCTGCTGAGAAATATTCGTTTTTAATAATACTTATATAAATTATTGTCAACATTTTGTTCTGAATTTAATAATTTACTTTTGTAATTATGACAAACCTTTTTTTTATGTTGACGGGGTGTAAAATCTCTTCGGATCTCCTGCTTCTTGGGGACTCTGGGAGCCGGAGTGTGTAGTGATTCCATCAAAATCCACCCCGACGACCGTCTCTAGCTGTCCTACTCTGGGATAGTAACAAACCTAATGACTTGTTTTTGTTGTTTCAATAACTCAAGAAACCGACCACGAGAAATACCTACAGAAAGCTTCAATTAATTTAATAGAAAACAATTACTGTAATTCATTTATAACATCAAAGAGGATGGGCTTAAACGACTCCCAGATGTGTGCTGGAGAATTGAATCAAGAATGGGATTCTTGTTTGGTAAGATTTTAACCAAACATGCAAAATATACACTAGAAAACCTGGATTCCCGTAAGAGTAGACCAAGGTATTGAAGATCCATAATTTGGTAAATATTGGAACGAAGTTCCTTATGGGATGATATGGTGAGAGCCACGATTTCACGAGAAAAATCGAAATATAGATAAGAAAAATACGAAAAAGTGTTAGTCGCTATCTCTCTCGCTCTGTATTCACTGTCTGCAAAGCGAGAGAGAGAGAGAAAGTAATCCGTCTACTTGCATTGCGCATTTTTATTTAGGAATAAAATGAGATCAGTCTTGTTCCTCTAAAATCAATAGTAATCGAGTTATTCAATTTTGTAAAAGAAAAAGTGCTGCTTTTCTTTAAACAATAGGGAATATGCATGTATTTTTTTTATTTTTTTTAAACTATTCTACTAGTTATTACATTACCAAAAATAAATATAACACATCCAAAATATAAACCGTTGAGCAAAAAAATTTTTATTAAAATCACTGTCATTTTGGGACAATTTGAACACGTCCATTTTGGCGCGCTTTTTTTGTGACGTCAGATTACACTTTCAGACGAATTCGATGTCAACAACGGAGTGAGTTCACAAAGTTTCTGAAAGTTAAAAAAGTGAGTGATAAAAATTAACTTATTACCATGGAAAGCCAATAAAAACATATTATAAATATTGTGCCGTTCCTTTGTGCCCAAAAAATATAAAAACTGCACCGGACAAAGTATATTCAGTCATTGTGTTGAGTCTTTCTAGACGGGAATTTAATAATTTAACACTGAAAACGTATTAGTTATTAACTTAAAATGAAACAAATAATCACCAGAAACCAAATATTACAAATACACACAACTTGTTGACACTCTTGACAGTGTAGGTTGACGCCACGTTTTATTCAAATAAAAATATTTTGTCCATTTTGGTGTCACGTGCATATACCCTATTGGTGTTAATTGCCATATCGACTTTTTTTTTGTTTATATAAAAAATACACACGAATGTTTTTATTTCTGAACCCTTGACCATAATTCATAAATGAAATATTTGTCAAATAGCATAAAGAACTTTGTACTTTAATAACTTCATTTTTAAAAAGTCCACAAACATATTCAAATGGAAAATGGAGATGGTAAAATATAAACGACTTATATTTCACAATCAGTGTCACCACCCCTATTCGTCCCGTGGGTGTCGTAAGAGCCGACTAAGGGAGCAAACTCTGCAGGACAGCAGCACAGCAAAGAGAAGGCAAACTAGAAATAACCTTACACCCGTCTGGCCAGCGTGGTATATTAGGCCAAAACATCCTTTCTAAGGAGACCCCTATGTCCAGGAGTGGACTATCAAAGGCTGTTGATGATACAATGATAGGTAGAGTATCAATAAATATAAAAATTACGACTTAGGGGACATTTCATCTGTTGAATATTTCATCCTCGGATGAATCGTCACTCTTTCAAATTGTTTGGTGTCGAATCATCCGCAAAATATTTCCCTGACTGATTGATTCATCAACGCAGATCCTTAACTGCTAACGCTAGTAACTTCAAATGTTGGCAGCTGATGCTTTTTATACTGTAGGTTATCCACTAAGAAAGGATTTTTGGAAACGTCACTCCTGATAGGATAAAATAAAGGATGAACGGTTTTATGGAAGTTTGTCAGTTTCAAAGAAGCCGAGGGTAATGTATAGTTGCGTTTAGGGATTTATTGGGGAATATATAAAAAGTCATAATGATTTTATGGTTTTGAGCCGTTTTTTGGGTCTTTCTTTTTTAGGGGCAAACTGGCAGACCCGGTGCCACCTGATGGTAACTGGCTATCGCTACTCATGGTGTTTTGAATGACCTCCCTTCCAGGAATTTTATGGGAGGGTTGAAAGTTTTCTGGTTCCGTTGACTCTGTGTTAAAGGCCCAAGTGTAAATAAATAGAAAAAATATTTTCTTGTGCTTTCAGAATGAAAGCGGTTCCCCACTTCAGGTGGCATCAAAGGAGAATCTATGCATCTTTTATGTGCTAGGAATTACATCTTTCGGAAAACCCTGTGCAACGTATACCTCACCTGCAGTGTTCACCAGAGTTTCTAGCTACCTGGACTGGATTGAGGGAATTGTATGGCTAGGCAAATAGTAAAAATCTTATGTCTTCTATTATCTTTTTGTAGTTTTATTTTCATCAGCTTTCTATACCTTATGTTATCATCCTGTTCCGGATTGTTGATCTTGACTATATCTAGTCTAGGGCTCATATGCCGTCATACAGACGAGCCGACTCAATACTATGGTCCTTTCTTCAAAAGGTAAACCCAGATCCTATACTGAACTCACATAGTTCTCTTTCAAGACACCTCTGTGGTTTGTTTTGGCGTTTGTTCCCAGAGTGAATCTTAGGAAATGCCGGCGCCGCTGTAAAGTCCGACATGTAAAAAAATCTGAAAAGATATACTTCATCATTTCATTTAAGAAGTGGTGTGGTGAAGGATTAAGATTACGGAGTGTCACTACCCCCTATTCATTTCGTGGGGTCGTAAGAGTCAACCAACCAACTTCAAACAATACTAACAAATTGGACTGACTGCACGGATGGCGTAGTGGTTTAAGTGGTTGCCACGCCGCTTTCTACTACGCCGAGTGTTGTGGGTTCAAACCCCACATGGGACAACACTTTTTTACACTAATGCGGGCGTTGTCTTTTAAAAAAAAAAAAAAAAAAAAAATCTAGCAGCAATCGCGGTTGATTTGCTATCATTTTTTGAAGAGTTCCGTTGTCTGTCACCGAAACTCATTATCAGATCTATATGAAATTTAAATAGGACCATTTCGGATAAAACCCCTTTCGAATAAAAAAACAAAATTTTGGAAATCCGTCTATATATGACGGAGTTACATACAAAAACTGAGCCCGAACATACATAAAAAAACAGTGGCACTCCGGGGTGACAGAAGTGAAAATAAAAAATAGTTTTTTTTACTGTAACGCATTTTTTTATTTCGATTCGAAAACTTCCAACATGAATATATGTATATGTATGTTGTACGTATATACACAATATATGTTTATATTATAAGGCATGCCTTTTAAGTTTTGTCGTTTGAAGAAAAAAACACAACTAGAACCTTATAGTACTTCTTATTGTTTTTCAAAGTATTCACCACGTAGCTTAATACACTTTTACATTCGCTCAATTCAGTTATTGTAACATTTATTCCACTCTAAAGTGGGGGTGTTCAAAATGGCTGATTTGAAAGCGATGACTGCTTCTTCACCGGACTGGAACCTTTGACCACGAAGACTTTTCTTAATTTTAGGAAATATAAAGAAATCGTTAGGGCTTAGGTCAGGACTGTATGGAGGATGGTCAAGAATTTCTACTTTTTCCTGCTTCAAATACTCAATCGTTTGACGAGCGCTATGTGAGCTTGCGTTGTCGTGGTGCAGGATGATGCGTCGCTTTCAGTTAGATTTTCGAAGTTCAGCGATAACATGTAGTAAACAAACTGTGGCATACCACTCTGCATTAACCGTTCTACGATCTTCAAGTGCAATAGTCGCAACATGGCCGGTTTTTCCAACGAACGTGGCCACCATCTTCTTTGAAGTGCTTCGAGAACGAACAACTTTAGTCGGCTTTGGCTCGTCTGGAAAGACCCAGATTGTAGATTGCTGTTTGGAATCAGGATCGTAGGCATAGATCCAAGATTCGTCACCACTGATGATGTCGTACACGTAATTTGACTCTCCTCGGTTGAACCTTTGCAGAGTTTTCTTACACCATCTGACGCGGGCCGCCTTGTGATCGTTGGAAAGCAGATGCGGCATCCAACGGCAAGCAAGCTTTCTCACACCAAGCGCTTCATGCAAGATCTTCTGAATGGTTGTCCCTGAGATGCCTAATAGAGCCTCTATCTCTCGATTCGTCACATGACGATCTTCGAGAATTAGTTGTCTCATAGCAATGATGTTATCTTCAGCGAAGGCGGATTTTGGGCGTCCTTCGCGAGATTTGTCACTAACACTAGTATACCCACGCTGGAATTCTAAATACCAGCGTTCGACAGTCCGCAGACATGGGGCTTCATCACTGAACACAGATGTTAGCTCTTCAAGACACTGAAGTCGTGTCAGGCCTCTTATAAAGTTGTAGAAAATTATTGCACGAACATTTTCCTTAGAAAGATTCATATTCGTTCGTAAGCTGACAGATTCCAATCGACGCTGTGACTAAACAATAGCATTAATCCTAATACTTTCATCTGTTTTGAGATTCAAAATTTAAACACATTCGAATATAGAACAGTTCCAAATTCAAAATTGCCGGGAAATATGGAAACGACGGAACTTAAAAGGCATGCCTAGTATATAGTTATATTATCAATGTGTTTCAACACAAACTCAACTCTCGTGTAAACGGGGCCAATATACATATGTAGATACTTATACACAGAGGTGTCGGAAACTGCAACAGTGTCGCCAGTTCAATGGTATTTTTCCCATCTCAAAAAATACATTATTTTGTTTGTTGTTTAAAAATGCCTAAAAAAGTTTTTAATTCAAAAATATTAACATCTGAATTGAACCCCTGTCCTTTTGGAAGTCGTTTAAATATGGCCTGCCTTGACCTTATTTTACGTCTTCTAATTAGTATTCTATAAATCTATATATAATAAAATATACATGTAGTGATATAATAGCAGTAAGAACATAATCAATATTTTTTTCATTAATTTGCTTGTATCATACAAGTCGTACGTAAGTACATTGTACAAGCAATTAAGCTTAGCTGGAGGGGAATTATAAAATAGAAGTTGCCAGCAAACCATAATTAAAAATTTGTTCAATGAGCTGCAATCAATAAAAGAAAAGTTGTGACTCCTGAGTTGCAGACGTTCATGGGTTCACTTTCCATCATTCATTTGACGACCGAATGGCGTAGTGGTTTGTGTAACAGACTGCATTCCAAAGGTCGCAGATTTGATTAACGCTCAAGTCAAACATTTGTGTGTATGAACTTTGAATGTTTGATTTGGTCTGGGCGTTTCTATTTATAATATGTATGTATTAAGAAAAAAAGTATATATGTATTTAAATCAGTTGTCTAGTACCCATAGTACAAGCTCTGCTTACTTTGAGACTAGATGGCGTTGTGTCAATGTGGTAGAATATTATTATTATCAGGTGACTCGACTGCGCAGACAAGCGCTCCCTCTAACATAAAAAAAAGAAAACTACAAAAACCATTTTAAAATCTTTATTAAATCTCAATCCTTTTACATAATGAATATCTAAAAACTCTTCTACTTTTCAAATATAATTCACTTCATAACTTTATCTATTTATTTGACAAGACAACACTAGTTTAAATTCATCTATATATTTAAGTTTATTATTTTAATTTCATATATTTAAGTCAATCATATTATCTATATAATAAAAGAGAGTTATTGGATACATAAGTTTTTAAGCAAATTTCGCATACGAAGGAATGTGACATTTGGAATGATTAAAGTTCATATATAGAAGAAATACAATAAGCTACGATATTTAATCAATGTGTGTTATTAAATGAAAAATTATAAGAAAAAGGCCACGAGGTAACAGTACAAAATGTAATCCTGTCATGTTACTAAAAATCACTACAAGAAAAGAAAACATCATCTATATAAAACAAAATATTTAAAGGTATTGAATTTTGATCGAAATTCGACACTAAACTGTGTACTGTGTACAGCATTAAGGTACTAAAATAATACAGAAACAGCTTATATACAATAGAATACAAGAAACTTGAAGATAAGTGTTGTTACATTTTAACGCCCAAAAGCTAATGATATAAAAAAATCAATACTTTTAATATTGGTATCTAATTTTGAATCCTACGATATGAGCATATCTCAATATTATCTAAGATGATCCTAAGATTGGTTTGCAAACAACTGTAGATAATAATTTAATACGAAAGAAATCTGAAGCTGAAAAAATCAGAATTGTCCATTTCACCTAAATATTTATCGTAGACAATTTCGTTTCGACTTCAATGTCCTTTCTTTTACGAATTTAGTGGAATTTAACTAAGTGAATTCGTGAAAGAACCAGGCTTCAGAACAAATGGTTCCGCTCGACCGAAATGATACCACGGCCTCACAGAAAACTGGTGTTAATCAATTCTTTCGCTGCTTTTCATATAGTGAGGGACTGGCGCTTAAACTCTACCTCCCCTGAGTTTGCGGTGGAGGGAAACTCTTAGGGTGTCAACGCACTAGTGATCTTGAGTTGCAGGTAGACACCTGGACGGTAGTAGCAGTATGCTTTGAAATGAAAAATTTGTCGGTCTGCCTGATATAAAAAGAAATTTAATGCATAGAAGAGAGAAGAGATGGATGTTAATTAATTTAAACACAATTTTTTGCAAGACAAAGTTACATAATATACTTAGGTAGTCGAATGTACGACCTCCGTCCTCCATAGGTGCAGGCCTGGGGGTGACAGGTGAGGCCATCTGTCACCCTAGCAGAAGCAGGCCGGGGTGGCGGCGAGAAGCACTGCGGAGCGCGTGTGCACTGGGAGCACCAAGGGAACATGGGGGTTCCCACACAGGAGGGGTCTTCTACCCGCCGTAGATGCCCCGGGGTATGTCGGGGTACCAGGGATTTCCTTTCTAGGGTACACCTGGTTCCCCGGCTACTGGTACCCAAGACGGCGTGCGGGTTTTAGTCGGTTCCAGGCCGACATAGCCACCGGTAGGTGGTATCCGAGGGGATTTCCACACGGAAAAAAAAATACGTGTAAAGCTATTGCATAGCATTTTTTATCAACTTATGCAATTATAACTATTTATTTATTTTATTTATGCAGTATTTTTTTTCCTTTGTTTTTTTTCTTTGTTATTAATTAATAACAAAGAAAAAAAACGGGACGGGGGGGATTGCGGGGCGAAGAGGGGGATTACGCATGCGCAGTAACGCCGATACAACCAATGCCACCTAGAGGCGAGTTGCTGAACTAAAGAGACAAGCGTGATATTTCAAAAAAGTCATTAAAAGTTCTGCTATTCATCGATAGATGGCAAAACTAAAAAGTATCACCGCTGTGCCGGTCAGAATGTTAGGTTAGTTCGTTACGGAATTTCGGTAGGTAGTCGAATGTAAACAATTTATAAAGGTTTTACATTTTAGTGGGTATTCTAATAGCTTAAGTGTGCACACATTAGTTAATAATTTGACTGCGTGTGCCAGCTCAATAAATATGTGTTTTCTTGTTCGCTGTGTCAAAGAAACAATCACAAATCTATGTGCAGTCATAACATATCAGTGCAGTTTAATATCGTATTGAAACTATTGCACTCAAATTATGTTCTTAGCTATAAATATTATTCCTACTCTTACATGCAAATTTTCTTTCAAAGTAATCAAGTTCAAAGAAATTTCGTAACCAAATTACCAAAACCTATATTCGAAATTGTCTTGCTTTTTCCACGTGGTACGGGTTATCGTCTGCGGTATTGCCGGACCGATACGACCTTCAAACCTTCAAGAAAAGAGCGTACTCCTTGCTAAAAGGCCGACAACGCGTTTGTGACTCCTGAGTTGCAGACGTTCATGGGCGGCGATGATCATTTTCCATCAGGTGACCCGTCTGCTCGTCTGCCCCCTCTAACATAAAAAAAAAACTAATGCATATTTACATATACATGCAAGTGTTGTACCTCATACTAAAATATAAACCTCATTTAGGTATTAAACCTATTTACATATAATACTTATATTAATGGACGAATTATTTGATTTTAAATGTCTTATTTATATCGGCATTTTAATCTAAAGTTTACTTAAGCGTTAATATTCGTGACTTGTACTAAGTTTGGTGTAATGACACTGACAATATTATTATTTTAGCTACAATATTTATTTATTTTTATTATTATTCTTCTATTTAACATCGCATCTAATATATTGTGATTTGTGATTGAAAGCTTTTAGAAAATGAGCTTATTTTAAATGAATTAGTATTGGATATTTTGGGATTTACGTGTTTTTTTTTTTGCCAAGATTGTAATATAAAATTCAACCGATTTATTCCAAATGCATTTACAAATATGAGCCTAAAATACACGAAACTTTATGAAGTTTAAAATTCACGTTTGATTTAATAAGCTAGGATTTTTCTTATGCAAGATACGACAAAGATGGCGAACAGCGAAGTTTTCAGGATATCAGCATCTGAAAAATAAAAATAAAATTACAAGTTTATAAAGAAAGAAAATTATTCAAATAGTTCGAACTTAAATAATTATTTTGTTATATTTGTAACAGCTGGTTGAATTATCAGAACCCACAATAATAATAATAAATTTTGCTTCAATTGCTTTAAAAAAGCAATAGTTTGAAGAAGTTGAAGAAAGCAAGCAGCAGATGGATGCGGACTGCCGAAGACCAGAATGGTTGGCGCTCCTCGTTCAGAACTGGACGGCTGATGGTGATGATAATAAATATTTAGATGATGAAAAAAATTCTGGAAATTCATATTCAGTTTAATATTTCTTATAAAGTTAACGACTAAATTATGATTTAAAATTGTAATTATCTTTAAACTTAAGGACTTGTTTTTTATTATAATTGAATCAACATTAGTTACGTATTATATTATGCAACGCAACTTCGCTCGCGTGATTATCAATTATTTCGTGTTTCTAACTTATTTTTAAAGACAACTCCCGCACTAGGAATAAATCCTGTGTCGCGGGGGACTTTATAATCATACATGAAACGGACACAAAGAACACCCAAACTCAGAACCACAATTTGTGGATCACACACAGTAGGAAGCGGCTAGGTGACCGCTTAAACAACTACGCCATCCGTGCAGTCAAAAACTTTGAAAATTACTTACTTCCATACTTACCATCCTCTTAGGGGTGTATTTCTAAAAATTATTTCTTAGTAGGTGCTTACAACTTAAAAAGCATTACCTACCAAAATATCAATATGTCCGTATGGTTACGGATTAAGAAAACGGATTGTCCTGCATAGTTTGCTCCCTTAGTCGGCTCTTACGACACCCATTGGATGAATGGTCGTAAGAGCCGACTAAGGGAGCAAACTATGCAGGACAACAAAACTGCAAAGAGAAGGAAAACTTAAAAGCTGTACCAACCCGTCTGGCCAGCGTGGTATAGTAGAGGAGGCCTATGTCCAGCAGTGAAAAGGCTGTTGATGATGATGATGAATTCCAGTAGCTTAGGCCCTTCGTTGATGAATCAACGAGTCAGGGCAAATATTTTTTATGTGAACAATTCTCACTTACCACTGCAAGCATGATCCTTCTCCACATATCCATTCTCAGTGTCACAGAGACAAATCTTGTCGGTCGGAGCGTAGACCCGCAGATGCAGAGGAGCAGTACCAGTGATGTTGGGGGTAGCGCAAACGAGATCGACGTTGCATTCATCGCTGTTCGAACAGGCGTGGTAGAGAACTGGCAAAAACAATATACAGATAAAAAATATTTATTTATTTTTAACTTTATTCATTTATGTACATCGGTGGACATACTACCCAGGGCATTATCTTTCAGTAAACCTCTCATTATCATCAACGGCCTATAACAGTCCACTGCTGGACCTATCCTTTCCTTAGAAAGGAGGTTTTGGCCTACTTTACCAAGCTGGCCAGACGGGTTGGTATAGGGTTTGTTTTAAGTTTTCCTTATCTTTACAGTGATTTCGTCCTGGGTAGTTTGCTCCCTTAGACGACTCTTACGACACCCACGAGATGAATATGACAAACCTAAATCCTTTAAAAAAAAAGGACAACTCGCGTACTAGGAATATATAATATATCGCGGGGGACTTCGTTTATGAAACGGACACAAAGAATACCTAAGTACAGAACAACAATTTGTGGATGTCACACAAAGTGTTGTCTCATGTAGGGATCTAACTCAAAACACTCAGTGCAGTAGGAATCGGCGAGGTGACCGCCGCGAGGTGCTTAGAGTATTTTATAATTAACTTTTAAAATATTATAACCTACTTTAAAGCACCTACATCATTAACGTCAGTGACTCTGCTAAGCCGGACGTCATGGGTTCGATTCCCACAAAGGACAAAAAATTGTGTGATAAGCACGATCATTTGTTTTGTATCTGGGTGTAATTTATCTACAATATGTATGAATTTTAGACAATTTAACAATGTTTTTAAGTCGTGTGGTTATCGTGGCACAGGCTTTTTCTAGTTTGGGATCAGACTGCCTTGTGAAAGTATATACTTTCAACAAAAAAAAGAATTTTCCAAATTGGTTCACAAATGAGTGCCTCGAAAAGCGCACAGTGGTGGAGCGCCAATTATCCAATTGATAACAAATGAAAATTTTGAAACGATGGGGCGGAAAGTTGGGGCCTGTATTAGTCCAAACAATTCCTTGGAGCACTCTATGATATATACGATAGAGAATGCACCAATACAGCAAACATACGTTGTTTGTTTTCAATTAATTTCTTGTCTTGTCTCTTCTAATAAATACCGTTACACAAACCCCTACGCCTTTCGGTCGTCATAAAAAAATAAATACAAATATATAAAAAATACAAACATTAAAAGATTAAAAGATTTAATTAACATTAAAAGGTTACATTTCTGAACGAATAATGTTACCTACCCTGTAATTATTCTAAGGCCAAGGAGTTTTATCGCTACAATCTGTGGCCGCTCCGCGTGAGTTGTTTAACTTTATATTTATAATCAAAAAATAATTTACTTTGCCATTAATCCTGATAAGCCTTGATTTTTAGGGGTTTGTAAAGAGGTTTCATGAAAACGTTGTTAGGATTCATGTAATGATTTTTTTAAAATGCTGCCTGAGACGTCTTAATTTTTTTAACTTGGCAACTCGTGTTTTGCTATACTTCAAGTGAAAAAAGATTTTTAAATTCGTCGGATTTTTGGTCGTGAAATAAAGCTAAGTAGTGCCTTTATAATATTACCTTTACTATTTTCAATAAAGTTTGTACTGAATTATTTTTCGCTTTTTAATCTCTTTTTGTTGTTTTTTTGTCGCTTTTTAGTCTCTTTTTGTTAATGGTTTTTGTTTTTTTAAATCAAAACCATTAGTTCTCATTCATTTATCTATTTTTTTTAGAATACTACTCGAATCTCAATTTCTTAGTATTGTTTTTTTTTTGACATAATACTTAAACTGGAAATCAATAAAAATATCATAGGTTCCCGCGTTTTTCTGACAACTATTTTTTTATGTTTACGCGCACTTTTGTACCATTGAATTGTCATTGTTTTTCACTTTATCTGTGCAAGGAGCAAAACTGATTTTCAACCTGAATCAAAATCAAAGTTCTTCAAGTAAATAAAACCTTGAAACTGGCCACCAATATAAAGTTGATTTCTTATCGATATATTTTCACTTCGTGACACAAACTCAACTTAATGTGTGCGCCATTACGTGTTAGTTACAAATAAAAGATATTATCAGACTTTAAATGTCGCTTGCTACTTTAATTTCAAGTAAAATGTTTCTGAATGACCAATTATTACTGTACAACACGAGAAGTTATTACGGGAATAAATTGTAAGCAAAAGTAGCGCTAGGTAAACAAAGGAGTAAACAGATGCATATCAAACAACCTAATTTTGACAAATACAATTCGGCCCCAATCTCGTTATATATCATTATATCGAACTTTGAGAATTAAAGATGGGAAAATACATTTGTGGAGGAATGACTATACAAGATATTACATTGCTCACAGTAACAATGGCCGATGGGGCCAAAAAATTTTTGAGTAGCGACCGCGTATCGGACGAATGTGATATTATATTTATAATATCGAATGTGAAAAAAGAGTAGTTAAATATCTCTATGAGAACTTAAAAGATGGTAGACTTGTAGAACTTCTATGGTAATATTGATGATTCAGTAAAGTTATTTGTAATTTTGTAACTGGTTCTTGTCGGGAAATCCGAGTCCTATTTTTTTCGTTTATTTACCGACTTAAGGAGGAGGTTCTCAATTCGTCTGAATCTTTTTTTTTATGTATGTTCACCGATTACTCGAAGACGCCAAAACCGATTTGTAAAATTCTTTTTTTGTTTTCAATTTTAGATCCAAACAGAATAACAAGTTACTTTAAAAGTGTGCCTTGTTGGCCTTTGTGTTGTTTCAAAAATAATAATAATAATATTCTAATTTAAAGGAGAGTAGTAAAATATTTCTTGGAGAACTTAAAAGAGCAATCACATTAAGTTTGTGAGTGTGTGTGTGTTTGTATGTTTGTTACCTTTTGACGCTCATAAGACTGGACTAATTTTGAGCAAATTTGGTATAAGGTAGCTGACACCCTGGATTTTGACTGCTTTTTATCCCGAAACATGTAATATTCTAATGGGATGAGTAAGGAATTAAAAATCTAACACATAAGAGGATTCTTTACTTGACACGATTGATACATTCTAAATGGAATTCCAACTGCTAAGAGAAGGAAAACTTGAAACAAACCCTATACCATAGCGTGGTATAGTAGGCCAAAATCTCCTTACTAAGGAGAGGCCTATGACCAGCAGTAAACTATTAAAGGCTGTTGATGATGATGATTATGGAAAACCAACTTACATTTGTGCTGAGCATCGCACTGTCCGTTCACTGGAGGCTGGTTCTCTCCACAGAGACATCTCGTCACAGGATCGCTTTGGGTCCGTACGCATGAACTGCCGCTGATGCCGGCGCATTCTGGTTGACGGTTACATTGTCGAGCTGGTGACAGATAAAAGTATTATTAAATTTCAAAATGGCCGCTGGATTGAGCTCTTTGGAAGAAATTTATCTTTAGCATTGACATTTTGTAATCTTGACTTGGAGTTCCTGGAAGTTTTGAACACAATTCTGTATAACAAGTTTCAAAGATGGCAATACTGCTTACAAGAGATGTCAGTATTTATTTCTAAGGCGTTTATGAACGAATATGTATTTCGATACTCTTATCAAAATTGTTATATTTATTTTATAGGGTCTTTACCTGAACTATTACTAGAAACACCTCGGATCAAATAATTTAAATTTGTTTACCCACTACCTTGACCTCTGTAAATTTACATAAAAAAAACTTAAACGCAGGTCTTAAAATGGCTTCGCCAAAACATATAAAAACTTCATTTAAATTTGTACAAAAGATTTAATATTTCCTTGGTCAATTATATAATAATATTACGTAGATATATAAAGTACTAAGCAGTGGACTATTAAAGGCTGTTGATGTGAAAAACGCACGGTACGTTTATAGAAACTTGTATGAACCTAAATTACCTATCTAATTTGATATTCAACCAGTAAATTACGCGGGAAAGATACCGAAGTAACAAAATTAAATGTTTATTTGTAATTAGAACACAAACAATTTTTTTTTTAAATAAAGCTGACAACATACCAGGCAGTAACAAATAGCTGCATTTTAAAAAGTCTTTTTTTGTATATTTAAAATTAAATGGTCAGTTCTCTATACATTTACGGCCAGCATTTGTAGGCCAACGTCACCAGGCCTATAGGTCGCGTGTTGAGATATGCAAATTGGCTGCTCTAACATTATATATGACAGCTTTGGTAAAGGTTACTAGGGTGACCATGTTGCATTTAAAATCAGGACAGTATTTATGGCAAATGAAAATTATTATGTGAAGATTTCGTATTATCTTTCTTAAATATTTTATGATTTATTTATAGTGGACGTGATTCTTAATTAAATTTATCAAATAATTTTAGAAATAGAAAAAAAAACGGTGTTCATTCTATATTCATTTCTTATTAAAAACATACCTTTTTTTAAAATTAAAAACATACCTAGGATTTACTTTGCAATTCGGTATATTTACATGGATATAATTCTTTCTTCTTTAATTCTGTAAAACGCTGAACCGATTCTGTCGATTCTTGCGTCAATTGATTCATCATAAGTTACGCGAATGTCACTAAACACTGGACAGTAATTACAATTCAAAATGGCGGCAATTAGACGCCGTATTGTGGAAAAGAAAATAACAAAATCGACGAACAATGTCAAATGAGGTATCGTTGAATAGGTATTTGAAAATCCATAATCAAAAAACAATATTGATACTAATAAGCCTAATCCTTAAGAAAAAACATGGTATCACTACAAAACATCTAGTGCCAGAATAGCGTCACGTTAATGTTGCAAAAACATATTTATGTCTGCCTACTTGATATTGCGCTGCATAATATATTGTACAGTAAGAGGTACGTTATAAAAATTATTTCATCATCATTCTCATCAACAGCCTTTAACAGTCCACTGCTGGACATAGGCCTCTCCTTAGAAAAGAGGTTTTGGCCTACTATACCACGCTGGCCAGACGGGTTGGTATAGGGTTTATGTCAAGTTTTCCTTCTCGTTGCAGTGCTGTTGTCCTGCTTAGTTAGTTCCCTTAGTCGGCTCTTACAACACCCACGGTATGAATAGGGGTGGTGATACTCCGTATTCTTAATCCGTCACCACACGGACAGTAAGTTATTTATAGATACTTAATACGTCTGGGAAAGCCTTAGGATATAGACCAGGGTTAAACCGTTTTACCGTAGAAGACCAGAGCATAATCCGGTCACTACTCTGAAACCCAGTGTTAAGTAAATAGCAAGTGAGTGTAGTTTCTGGAGGCCTAGTTCCCTCTCGCCTAATTCTGTGGAGTGAGGGAAAGTGAGGTGGTTTAAAATGCGGCATGAACTAGTGTCTCTGAGTTGGAGGATTCGGCTTCGGTTTTCTCCACGGAAAGCAACGAAATGATTCATTATCATCATCAACAGCCTATAATAGTCAGTGGACTATTAAATTTGGCAGTCCAGCAGCTGGACATAGGTCTCTCATTAGAAAGGAGGAAGAAATGATTGATTGTGCTAAATTATTACTTTTCTATAATAGTTATAGTATTAGTTTATAGTCTGTTATAATTTAAAAAAAAAAACAAGTTTTCATTTTTATCTGTTCTCCCGGTTTTTTTTTTAATTTGAAGTTCGTGTTCTACAGTATCTTAATATAGCCTGAATTGGCTATATTAAAACAAGACGAACATTAGTTTACTTAATTAGTTAGTTGTGAAAACAGAATTACAATATTGTTTAAGATCATATGTTTTCCAAACAGATTTCCGAGACTAAAATTCTTGATGTCCTAACAAAAATTCAATGTCCCGAATCTTGAAAAGAAAAAATAATATTTTGACAACTTTAACCGGGGTCTTTAGCTATTAACAATGAACGCTTTTAAAGCTAACCCGTAATATAATAAATATATAGTGTATACAAAAATAATAATTAAGTTCCAAGGCATTAAAGTCGATTTTCACAAAACTTTACACAGCCCACATTCAACCGCTGATTAAAATTTCAAAACAGCACAGATACAGTGGCCAGCACGGCAGTAAAGGCCTCTATGCTTGACCTCTCCGTCCGCTACAAATAGCCCTGTTCAAAGATCAAGATAAGCTGGTAATTGCTTCGTGTAAATCTTACTGCTTCCGAAAGCTATCTGACAGCGCCATCTCCCGCCGAGTAGTAGAAATAGGTTACTGAATAATTTAAATTCACGAACGTTGAATGTAATTTTATTCGATAGAGTCGCCATTTTATACACACATGGCATTTTAATTTTAGTTATATTTTTGTAGAACTCAATTAAGCCGACATTTCTTTAATCGAAACTATAATCAAGCTTCTTATCGGTTTTAAAGAATTGTTAAGGCATTAATTGTTTCTTTCTGTAAGTCGTTTAGTAATCATGATCACAATAGTTGAGACTCTCTCATGTTGAATGAACTGAAAGGTGACGAGGCTTCAGGGCGGCTCCTCGTCAAGACCGTTTTCCTCTACAGGTACGGACTCCCTGAAGTAGTGTTATTATAGAGTAATCTATTTCTTAAAAAAAAATGTTAAGTTGGTTTTGGTCCGTGTGGTGACGGATTAAGAATACGGAGTGTCACCACCCCTATGCATTCCGTGCGTTTCGTAAGAGCCGGCTAAGGGAGAAAACTACGCAAAACAACATCACTGCAGAGAGAAGGAAAACTTGACAAAAACCCTACAACAACCCGTCTGGCCAGCCTGGTATAGTAGGCCAAAACCTCCTTTCTGAGGAGAGGCCTATGGCCAGCAGTGGACTATTAAAGGCTGTTGATGTGGTTTTTGTACGCTTCAAATGCAAAAACTCAAAAAGTTTTGCATCGATTGAGCTCAAAATTTGACACGATATATAACATGCTTCAGAGATTGCCTTTATCAGTTTTTCGCGTCAGTTTTGTTCCTCATTTCTGCCATCAAAATATGCTACAGTGAAGTGTTCCAGGGTTCAGCTAGTTAGTTAAATATAATATAATATTATAAGACTGCCAGATGGACTGAGGACCGGAAGAAAGTAACTGGGACAGATTGACTGCGGAAGCCGGCAGGCCATGTGCCATGGCGCCCTCTGGGAAAGTTTGGCAATTCATAGATTAATAGTATATTGAATTTGTGTACCTTTTGGGTCCAAACGGGTTTTTACGGTTATCAATTCGGATGTTTTCATTTTTTTACGAGCCTAGCAATGCCGCTTTGGATATTCGTTTAAGAAAAGAGCTTACTGAAGCTTTTGGCAATCCAAGGTCTTTAAGCAGGTTATAGAAGAATTTATGCTGGTATACCCCTCGCATCCATCTACCACGGTGAATTTTCAAATATGGTTAGGTAGGGGAGGGGGGGGGGAGAGGGGTAACACAGTAGACAGTGGATGTGAGCGCTGACGATTCGCAAGGAGTACTCTTTAAGCCTATACCTGGGTCGCAATTCCAAGGCGCTGTCGACGTCGCATGTGTTGCCCCCATCTATCTCGCGTTGGACCCGGCACCCGCACGGTCAATCCATGAAACACTAAGAAATAGGTCTGCCTATGTTCTGGCATAACTCCGTCATTATATAGACGGCTTTTCAAAAATATTTGGAACGAAGTTCCTTGTCGCGCGTTGTGAAAGGGGGCTAGACGGAAAAAATTCTTACGAAAATTGGTCACGACACTTTTTGCTATAGTAAGCTATTGAAAGCTGTGCGGCGTCGCATGTTTCTCTGTCTGTCTCTCTCTCTCTTATAGAAAGCAAGCCAGATATTTTCATTTCTATCTTTTTATGTCAGTCATTCAGCGCCATCTATCGAATAGATAGGAAATCATTTCTCAAGGAGATTTTACCAATGTATAAATTGTTTTAATTAGAAACCAACTGAAAAATATGTAGGTAATAGCCGCTTTCATAGATGGCGTTGTAATTAAAATGTGCCGAATCAGTTTTACTCGATCGTTACAACTTCGTTCCTATCGGGTGTCCCACGACACCACACGGCTTTTTTTTTATTCGAAAGGGTTTTATTCCGAAATGGTCCCATTTAAATTTCATATTAACCGCAATTGCTGCAAGGTTTTAGTGCTCTTTTTCAGTATTGCTTAAAGTCGGTACAACTTTTTTTCAAAAGGATTTTATTATTTTCTGTTTCTTAGACGCTACTTGCTTGAACAACGCAGCAAACAGTGTAGGCTTTTCCCTAGTCGGAGAATACTCATTTCAATTTACATCATCAGCCTTTAATAGACCTCTGCTGGACATAGGCCTCTCATTATTTTGGCCTATTATACCACGCGGGCCAGACGGGTTGGTATAGGGTTTGTGTCAAGTTTTCCTTCTCTTTTTGCAGTGCTGTTCTGCGTAGTTTGCTCCCTAAAA